CAACCAAAGTTTCAATAATGCAAAATGCGTAATAAAACTTTGGTTTGTAACATTTAACAAAAATAGGCGGTCCGGTCCCGTGACCATAGACGCTGTAAACCAGTATTAGAAACATTGGCAGTTAATAAATTTAAAACGAAATAAAATCGCTAAAATTGCATAATTTATTAATTTATATTGTACTTGTATTTATATTGTTATTGTATCGTAATCAGCGTTGAATTTCACAACAGTCTGGGTAACTTCACCGACACCTTTTTCATCTTCAGTTACACAAACAGGTCCCAGCCAAAGGTAAAGAGTAAGAGTTTGTAGGTCAAACTGAGGGTCATCGTGGTTATAATCTCTGGAAATGTTATGTTTTTTTCTATATTAATAATAGTATCGTTATTAGTACACCCACAACTACACTTATTAACCTGGATTAGCCACTATACACATGAAAACGACAAACAGTCGACTGTTTGCCGTCCACGCGAGTGAACCCCTCAAGTGACTAATTTTAATATTGACACAGTATCATTCGGTGCATACAGCTTTTAAAAAGTGTAACATCTAAATAAACAGTGCCCGCTGATGCGGGAACAACGGGCCTGATTATGTTGGCACAAGTGTGTCCGGGACAAGGGCCATTTGTCCGCATTCCTGGCTGTCTGTCTGTTTGACCCCCTCCCTCCTCTACGCTCGATTGTCTAACTGTTTGCTGGATTATATCGAGATGTTTACTTATCGTTACCGTGCCGCGCCGGCACTGGCATTTACTAGTACTTAGAAAGTTCGAGGCGTCCACGTAAATTGCCACGCTACAAATATCGATTTAGTCTATAAACGAGGTAACGAACAGATGCAATAGTTACTTGATTTTTTTTAATGAAAAAGGGGGCGAAGAGAGCCTCCCTTGGCCCCCTTTTTCATTAAAAAATGAAAAAGGGGGCCAAGGGCTTAATTATTTGTAGTTTATAAAATACCTCTTTGGTTTTATTGCAGCCTTTAAAGCCGTTTTATTCTCGGGTGTTGTATTCAAACAAACTAGATCAAATTCCTTGTTTTTTTCTCGACAATCATCACTCCGTCGTAGGTCCTAATCACGGGACATTGACAAAAATATAACGGCCTATTCAAGACACGCCTCGACGGATCAGGGTTCCAATTTTAAAATTTGTAATGCACAGATCCAATTCCGCGCCGCAAAGCACCGCCTCCCGTAATCTGTATTAATTCCGTTATTAATCGGAAATGCCTGAGTCGGCGCAACTATACGAAATCGGATCGCAATACCACAAATCCCCTTCAGATATGATATTCTGCGTCGGACTGCGGACGTCTGTGCGATAATTAAAAAACATATTAAGGACATGTCCAGTCTTGTGCCACCCCTATTCCCCCCTCGAGGTAGCCGAATGCCGAGTTGTTGGACGACGCTCTCCATTAAATTAAATCTGCACATACTTGCCTCATCAGCTCTCAAGGGGTGCGACGGGAAGATTTCTTTCTCCCTCGTTATTTAATATGTGAAGACGGGAGTAAGGAGATTATAGGAGTTTGCGGCAAACGCGACGCTTTAGGGGACAAGTTTGTTTGTGTCTTTGAGCAGTTGACAAGTTTGATTGAATCGTTTTCAATCTCTATAGCTGTCGTTATGAATTTGGAAATGGTAATGGTTCATTTTCTGTTTTCTATTAATGGCGACGCGTATAACGGGACGGAATTGATTAAATTCAATTTAACGTTGGTGTGAAACGGTTTGCTTAGTAAAAAACATTGCGTTTACCTCAGGATGCGATAATAGAATCTCTGTACGTTTTGTAAATTTTTCTACCATCCAGCACATACTCTTGCTCAATTTCAATGTCACCGACGTAATAGAAACGGTAAAAAATACTACGAAACCGGATACGTGGTAGACGAACATTAGCCATTCGGACGGTCGTGGAAACCACATCGTCCATTCACAACGCCATTTCCGAGCAGTGGGCAGACGAGTTGTGACGCGGGAAACGAGTGTCTTCAAATCACCTGATTGTGGTCTTTAAAACGGCTGACCGAGCGGTTTCGTAACAACTTTCCGCCAATGGCGGGCGGTCGCGTTAACACCCGTCAAACAAACAGCGAGCGATGATTAGACGTCAAATTGACGCGCGTCCGGCGATTGCGCGGGGCAGGCGCAATTATGCGGCGGGCGGCGGCCGCCGATCGGCCGAAATCGCTTATTCACGCCCGCTAGTTGACCCGCGGGCGCAGCTGGCGGCATCCCCAAGTTACAGGCGCAAGCGATTCTTGCCAAAACCATGTTAATTGTTAACAATCAAAGTCTGGGTGCTACTTCAAACGTAAACCGGCAACGGTTTGCAGAGCGTTAAATTTGTATTATTAAGAACTCTTTAATGTTTACTTAAATAACTTCTAATTTTATACTTAAGACAACTTGTCCCCCGATAAATATAATTTTGAACCGACTTCAAAAAAGGAGGAGGTTCTCAATTCGATTGTATTTTTGTTACCTCAGAACTTTCGACTGAACGAACTGATTTTGATGATTTTTTTTATTTGATGATTTTGATTATTTCCCTACAAATCACTGTCTCACCTTTTTATCATGAGTCCGACCACAGACTGACAACCGGTCATTTATGGCACTTTGTTACTTACTAATAACTAAATAAACTTGATAAAAAAGCGTGTTAAAAGGTTGACACTTTAGGCACGTCAGTAATTTAAAGCTGATCTTACGACTCACTACCTCTTACTCCCTAAATCGCTAAATCCTATAACTCACGCCAGATAATTATGGAACAGAGCATATAATTTGTCCGCGAGTTGCTACTATTTGTGTACCGGGAACGCTGTCGGATGTTAGCGCCGTATTTTTTTACATGCATTGTTACACTCGTCCTGCAAGTGTTGCCCACCCGTTGAATCGTCACGCTAAAAACGATCACACACCGTATATAATTGCAGTAAAATGTACACTTCTTTATATTAATACTAGCGGACCGGGCAGATCCGATAACTTAAAAAAAATAAAAAATACAAATTGTGAACCTAAACCATTCTCGAATCGAACTAAGAAGAGACACAAATTTCATTAAACATTTCACAAAAAAAAATTCATTATAATCGGTCCAGCCGTTTAGGAGGAGTTCAGTGACTTACACACGAGCAGTACAAAAGAGCAGAACTCACTCATTTTACAAGTAAGTACTCGCTAATCCCAGGTTATACCGCTCCGAATTGCTATCTAATCGCGAATTGTTATCTTATTGAGCTAGCCCATTTTTAGGGATAAATATTACATAGATTTACACTCTCTGTTGGAGGAGAAACGAAAGCTATAGACGAACAGTCAAAAGATGGTTCAAACATGGGCGACTACCAGCTATATTCGCGAATCTATATTCGACGTGAGGAAAAACCACTGGATACAGCTACTTTACTGTAGTCCAAATTGAAAAAAGTTCTTCTAGGTTTTCTTGAGAATTAATGGGAATTGTTAGATAAATTCATTTGATCAATCCCTTAGATTATTCGTAAATGAAATAACTGCTAAAAAAATCAAATATCTTAAAGCCAATTTCAAATTTTAGTGATCGATATTATTAGCCCACCACTGTGCAACAACTTCAACTTTCCACATCCAGTCAGTGCCGACTGCCTTTCATATATTCTGCACCGTGTCAGTAGGCGCCCGTTTACTATTCTATCTGTTATCATTATCCGCCTATTATGGTGGCACTGAGACTTTTAACTAGGCGCTTGTTTTCTATTCAATCTGTTAACTTCTTCATTTCAGCCCATTCTAGTCCACTGCTGAACACAGAATATGAAGCCATCGACTTTCTAATTAATTTAATATTAATTTGGTTTATGTTATAGTGCAGTAAATCCTTAAACTTTTACAAAACGTCATTTTAAACGGTAATAATATTATTCATAAAATATTGAGATTAGTATAATTTTCGGAAAAAAAATTACGTGGAGAGCATTGAGTGATTTATGTCAAAATTAAATGCGGCTAAGAAGCATCGAATCCAGGACTTTTTTTATTTTTACGAAACTGATTGATGGATTCCTCAACCAGTGCAAATTCTAACCTTCTTGTATCAATACAATATATAATAGCAACACGCGTCCCTCAAATTCCATGCTCGCATTAAAAAAAATGTTTTCCCGCGGCGTATTGATGTGGGCCTTTATAATACACCCTCGAGGATTATAGGGAACGTCTTAGAGGGGTCGGGGGGAGGAAGCGAAGGGGGGGAGGCTAAAATTCAGTTATGAAAATATGAAAACGCGACCGTATTGATTTACCCTGGGACGGCTGCCCGGGACGTGCCCGCGATGTCTTCCAATACTTATACTTAGGAAAATAGAAATAGAGCCAGTTAAAATTCGAAAAGGGCTGTTACTAAAGGTCATAACTTCTTCTTTCGCTAACGTTATATATAAAAAAGAAGATGCTTTTCTTCAAAACAAAACGTTCATTCAATTACGGTGAACAAATGAAATTATTATAGAATATAATTATTATAGATAAAAAATATTAAAGAGGTAATACAACTGATGCCGAGTTTTTGTGATCTCATATAAAATAATAACGAGGGGAAATTATATTGAAAAATTTGCCTTTTTACAAATCAAAGTCGCTGCGACGAAATGAATTACGTATATATAAGTTTCATATCAAAAATGTTATAGACTTTGACTTAAGCTAATAAAATTAAAATTAAGATATACTTAAACTTAAAAAATTAAGACATACTTAAATTTTAAAAATTAAGAAATACTTAAATTTTAAAAATTAAGACATACTTAAATTAAACACTTGTCAGGAGTGTCTCGAATGGTATAAATCGAGCCAACAATTACGGTGAGCAATCGTAAGGATTACCAAATAGCGCGACAACCGAGCACAGCAATCATCTGAATTACCCAATTAATAACCGAACGGAGCGCCGCGGCCTGTCGCCGGTAACCGCGCATTAACTTATCGACTAATCGGTATGTGTCGGACGCACCCCAAATTGAATAATAACTTGTTAGAGCGAGCCGAGGCGGGCGGGGGCGGCATTGTGCGCCAAATTGCCGCAAATTGGGAGCAGACGCAATCGCAACTCCATTACCGCGCGCCTGCATCGGATTGGTCGACCCGCCTCGTCCCCCCCCCCCCCTCCCCCAGCTCCTCTCAACGGCGGCGAAGAAATGAAATTATGCACTCCGTAAATAAGAGCCTTTGTACGCCGTCTCAGTCGGCGACTTATTTGAGCTGTCAGCGTCGCGGGTTAATGGAAACGCTGACTGTCCGAGTGACGGCGCCACGCGCCGCTCCTGAGAGGCGATGCTCTATAAATTGGAGGCCAGAGCGCTCGTTTCCACGCTCCGGCGTCCGTGGAAGTCAATTAGTCCCGTGCGACCCGGACTCCGCAATGAACTACTCGACGAAATTTCCATTTGTCCTATCATACGATTCTCCGAGAAAAATTGGCTAGTAATCACGGTTCTGAAATACCTGCTGCTATCAGGCAATACTTTTGGTTATGATATAAAATTTCATAAGTAATATTGAAATAAAATATAATTACAAAATTGAATCACCAATTAAATATAATTGTCAATTATAATTGTACCTTGTTCCTCCTGGGAAAATGTTTTAATGAAGATAATATTCATTATTAAACAGTGCGAAATTCGCCTCTAAAAATTAAGTTTATAGAGTTAATTTCAGTAATGCCAATAATTTCACGATATAACAGAGCAATTGTTTGCCAAGTAAACATAAACGTATTTAATACTGTTTCTAATTTAGATTTATTATTAGACATATAAAACAAATTTTAATAAAAACTTCAATTTTAAAGAAAATACAGAAACAGCATTAGCCCAGTTTACAACCGTTAACATGTTACGATTCTATACAAACGTTCAAAACTAATGCGTTTAATTCAATAAAAACAAGTAGGTCCCAATGCGGCGCCCTGAGGGAGCCCCACTCCCCAGAGACTAAATCGCTTAGCACCTTGATTGTAGCATTAGTAGATGGCGTGAGCGCTGCATTATTCCCTTTGTGCCCCTGCAATGGATTAGACGTTGTCACCCCGCGCGGCGGTGGGCTAGCGGCGTATTAATTCTTTCAACTCAATAGCGTTTTATAATTCTATTTGCGGGGCCTTCGGCACGGCTTTCGTGACGGAATTATTCAAGAGGTGTAATTGAAATTGTATAAAGGTGACAATTTGTTATTAGAAAATTAGATCTTTTCACGTTTTTAATGTTTTCCGTCACAGCTTTGATAATGTTTATTTATTTATATTTCATTTATTTAGATACAGCAAATACAAGAACAAAACACGATAACAAATGACCGGTACAATATTTGATTTTATAACTATCCAAATAGAAACGTATAGGCATTTTCACTACTTTTATTCCGGGCAACATTAATTTCCGGATTAACCCGAGATAGGGAGACCTTCACGAAGGGATTCGATTCTTGGTTTATTTTTTTTATTATTTTAATTATTATATATTTTAATTTTTTTTATGTGAGGAAGTGGCACACGAGCTGGCGGTTCACCTGATGTTAAGTAATAACCGCTTGCCCATGGACATTTGCAACACCCATAGGGTTGCAGATGCGTTGCCACCTCTTTTAATAATGTGGGCCCCGGCTACCTCACTCACCAGACGAAACGCAGAAGTGCAACACTTCTACTTTACGCCGGTCTTCTGTGAGGCCGTGGTACTAACCCGGACGGACCTGCCCATTCGTACAACAGTGAAAGCTATTGCGTGGCCCTACCACCGTGAAAAAAATATTATTAAATTATTATTTTAAGTAAATTATTACCCTTTTAATTCCATTGATGGTCTATTTGATTATTAAATCTAGGCAGCTTCAATAATAGAAAACAGGCCAACAACCTAGACCTAATTTATTAACTTAAACCAAAGGATAAAGGTCAGCTCTGATTACAACGGTTTATTCTTAATTATTTCTGCAAATAATTAGTAGGTCACAATTTCATAATGCAAAATGATAGCTGCAATACTATAGAGATGCTAGTAATTGTATGCACTGATTATCTTTCCCTCTTTATCCTTAATTACTATTTCTGTATATAAAATATGTATATGCAAATACAAAATACTCTAGTGATCTCATTTTCTTTAGCATGGAATTTGTTTTTTCTTTCATTTCCTTCTTTGTTTCAGTGCCGGTAGACTATCGCACTATAAATCTGTCATTTTTAGTCCTTAATTATAATCTGTTATAAAATCCTTACTGTTTACAACTTATTTCCTACAGGTAATTAAATCTAACGTATTACTCAAAATTTATATTTTAATTGAAAAAGCTCTTGATTGAAACTAGGTAATAAAATATAGTAGATCCAGATCGTAATGTGTGTTGGCGAAACATCCGTTTAGAGCGAAATTCACGAGTGGCATTCCTCTAAAATCATTACGAACTCGATATTAGGCTTAGCTCTCTAACTCTGAACGCGGGGGCAAAACGCACGGCACCAGCACCGAACCCGCTCCCGACAAATTGTTTCACAAGCATTACAAATACGACCCTTAAACTAATGCGACCAGCGCACTCGGACCCCTGTCTCTTCGAACCACACCTCCGACCGGACGGCGGGCAGGGTTCCACCGTGACTGGCGATTGTCACATACAAGTAATAAATTGTCGGGTGCGAGCAATTCCCTCGCACGGGCGTCACGGGTCATTAACGGGCGCGAATGTGCTGCCAAATTAACAATTACACGGGACCTTTGTGCCTCTATGTTAATTAGGAAACTCGGAGCTCCGCATCGACCCACCCGCACGCATTCCTACCACGGATAGGGCATGTCAGTGCTCTTCAACTCAACTGCGAGCTGTTTCAATACTATTCGACATACATGCAAGTTTCCAAATATAAGAACTTTACTGAACCTTGTGAAGCTTTATTTTCCGCTTATCATTGGATCTCATTTGGCTGATACTATATTCTTGTAGTTTTTCTAATACTACGGCTATATAGTTTAAAGATTTTGATATTTTAAACGCGTTTCAAGTATTTGTTTAACAAAGTTGGAGTTTCATCTAGCAGTTTTCGACTCTACAATCTGTTTTAACAGAACCCTATCATCACAAATACTCTTAATAAAACTGGATTCAAAATCAATGACCACATGTTCCGTCGTTCTTTGTATCACTGATGTCCTTTTTACCCGGTATTACATAATTATTCTTTTTTCACTGAAACAAATATTGATTTTATGTCTCTGCCTCAAATATTCTTCTATTGGTTTATTGATTTTTATTTAACCAGTGAAATCTAAATTAAAAATCAAAACTATTAGTGACAACTTCGAAAAAAGAATAAGCATGCAAATACACATGCTAACATATATACTTATATAAGGAGTAGACCAAGCGACCACCTCGATGTCTGTGATCAAAAGCTTTAACTGAACACCATCTGTATTAGATGCCTCGGGCTTTAATTTTTCTATGTGATTAAACACTGTAATGGGATCAAGAAAACGGGAGGGGAATTAGCCAAACTCTTTTCATCCCTAAATAGTCACTGGACTCGACGCAATCTCGGCTGACCGCTAATCCTGTTCCTCGCTATTAGTCTGTCACCAAGCCGGCACATCTAATCAATATGGCGTGCGCCCACCGGTTTCCAAGCCCGCAGAGGGATCAGTCGATTTTGAACACACTTATTGTATTAAAGTCGTGTGGTTACCGAGCTGGTTCTTTGTTATGATGACGATAGGTTATGATCTAGTGGCGTTAGATATGCATGGCCCAAGGCTAAGAACTTTAGTAATCACTGAAATTGATTCATCACATTGCAAAGGGCAAAGAACTAATAGCTTTAGACAAGTAATAATGTGTTAAAGGATAATGACAATCAATACATCTTGTACAGAGAATTAAATATTAGAATTGGAAAGAATAAATGCAATAAATGAGGAAGCATTCTGTTTCGGGTCTCTTATCGTGCTGATTCGCTGTAAAAATAATCGACAGAATGATCATGTCATCTGTCACGTTCAAAAGTTTGTAAAGTGGTTGAAAAAAGAATGGTCCGTGTAGTTCTTTTCATCCCAGCAACATGAAAGATTGTGTACTCTGTGAATTTAAACATGCCCTGAGCGTAAGACAATACACCCTCAATTTGCTCGGGAGATTACTGCGACAACACACACGCTTACATCGGAAGGATTATGCATCGGAAGCTTCATCCAATTACGTCCGGATCAACGGTGTTCAGTGAAGGAAATGTCTAATCTATTGTTGCAAAAAAACGATTTACTTCTCCTATATGTTGTGTATAAATAACTGACCGTTAGGAAATTCAAAATAGAACTGACGGAGAGCACGTGATGACTCGGTGGCGCAATTGCTCAACAAGGCTTCGGTCCTGGGAGAAGGGGGTTTGATTCCCATCCATTGGGACAAGCATTTGTGTGACCTACAGATAATTATCCCGGATTTGGGTTTTGTTCCCATGGAGGGTTAAGACAGGCGGCCGGTCGTCCTAGCCAAAACACATCCATAAATGTCTACATCATCGTCTACTCGCATACTTTCACCGTTAAATATTATATTTTTATACCTTTAAAAAATGCCGCATTATATTTCTCTGGAAACAGTATTTTACACTTCATTCGCAAAGTTTAATAGTTTCTAACCGTTGTCGTGTAAGAAACGTTCGGTTTCACAAAGCGTCAAGCAGCATTCACAAGTAACGGGGAATTACTTCGTCCGCAATATCTTACCGCTGGCGCTACATAGGCCGCACACAGACGCACGCCAGTGTGGAATATAATACGCGCGGGGTATTAATTTGCGAGAGCGCGCGGATCGAGTTTAATTAACAAATTTAATTAGAAATTAACTGTTTCGCAGAGACGGCGGGTGCGGCGGGCGGCGCCCCCGCAGGGTTGTCGCGCCGATGTTTTCGCTGAGTTTTTTTTTCGGTTATTACGAGATTTCGGATATTTTGTAATGCGATAGGATGTGATATGCCTGTGGTATGATGGTTCAGTATGTATTGGTGCAAACTAACACCCTGCACTAAAACTAAAACTAACACCTACACATTTTAATGTCATGAACCAACACATTGCTATATTTAAATGAATGATTCTCTTGTTCAACAATAAATCTTGCCTTCACTACATAGCATAAAACAAATTTGTCCCGCTATCTGTCTGTCCCTATATATGTTTATATCTTTAAAACTACGCAACGTATTTAAATGCGGTGATTTAATAGATAGAGTGATTCAAGAGGAAGGTTTATAGGTATAGTTCATGCATAATATAGTAGAGAAACACTGATAATTTTAGAGGTTTCTAATGCGATGTCGAAAACAAACATTCAGCACTGCACCCATGCGAAGCCGGGGCGTGTCGCTAGTCTATTATAATAACGAATTGTAATATACATAGTTTTGTCGTGTCTTATGTGCGCTTCACCATATTGTGACTGGGTCTTTTTATTCTCATGCCGTTGTTTATTTGCTCAATCACTTATTAATCGTCATCATCATCATCATTATTTCAGCTTGTTTGGGTCTACTGCTGAACATAGGCCTCCCCCACAGACCGCCATGAAGCACGATCCTGAGCCACCTGCACCCAACGACTTCAAGTAGTTAATCAAGGGATAACCCTTACTTCCTTACTAATATTATAAACGCGAAAGTTTGTGTGTATGGATGGATGCTTGTTACTTTTTCACGCAAATATCACTGGATGGATTCTAATGATACTTTACAATAATATAGCTTATACATCAGAATAAGACATACGCTATAATTTATATACATATTTTTATGTATATAATTATGTCTTTCTGTCTTAATGTTGCACCTTCAGCCTATTCTACGTGGTAACATTCTTAATTTATATTAAGATTAGTCGCGGGTGGCAACTAATCTTAATATAAATTAAGAATGTTTTTAAAATATTGGCGTATTTGTCTAATTTGAAACACTGTGAACCACCTAGATTCGATTAGTCCTGAAATCGCCCAGGAGAATGCGAAGGAACATTACTGTAAGCGGCTTACACTATGTTTTAAATAAAGCGCCATCTAGCCGAAAATGGACAAATCAAGTTTCATTATGGCAATTCATTTTAAGGCTGTAAAATTTTATTAATTGCCAATTGTAAACGGGATTAAATTTACAACATCAACCTAAAGTTCTTATTTAAATGATGTACAAATAATAACGATTAAATAAATAATAAAAAGAAAGCGTTTCAAAAGGTTTGACACTCTTTTCACTATATTTGAGAAGGATATCGTAATTGATTTGTGGAGTAGGATATCGTATGTGATTTGTTGAGTTTCGATCGTCGTCGGCAACCCTACCGGCGTAGGTAGAGCGGCCGGGCCGAATTTGAAAATGTAATTTAGTTGCGTTTTGTCCTCGCTAATTGGTTTGTTTCCTTGCTTAGTTACCGCGTTGGGGGCAGCCTCCGCACGCTCCACGGACAGATTGGGGACCTTCCGGGTATATGCGTAGGCCCTTAAATTTATTTCATATTCGGCGACGATGAGTTTATTGGCAATTGTGTTTCCTTCTAATATATATTGCATTACTTATGTTCATATTATTCCTTATAGAATATAATATACAAGTAGTTTATTAGCAATTGTTTTTCCTTATGATATATATTGGATTATTTATGTTCATACATATTATTCCTCATAAAATCTAATAAGGTGACTCAGGATCTTGCTTCTCGACAGTTTGTACAGGCCTATTTTAAGCAATGGACATTGATTTATTAGTATATAGTGAGTTACTTACGTAATAAAAATATATTAAATTTTTCATATTTCACTATGTTTATGAGAAATTGTAAATCATTGGTATCCAACAAAAATAAAGCAATGTAAATCGTTTGTCGTTGAAGCTGCCAGATACGATGGCAGAAATAGGGATGATGAGTAGATATAACACTCCAAGTTCTCTCAACACCTTAAAACTTGATAATTACTTAACTATCGTTGATCTTAAGCTCATGTATATTAAATTTCTGACCCTTAACCATGAATGCTGCAAAAAATAAACACGATAAATGCGTAAAAACAGTTTTATCTAAAATTGTGTTTTCTTCAGGTATAAGACATCGTCTTCATACAATTCAAAAATAATTGGCGGCTGTGGTCATAGTGTGAATGTCAATCCTGTCCCACGTGAATAGTGCCTGTTTCTATCGGAGAAAGTGTCACGGGGGTATGTGGTGCTGTGGATGACTACAACGCTTGTAATATGGCAGATGCGTTACTAACTTTTCATGATGTCAGGTCTATCCGTAGAAGTACCGCGACCTCCGAGAAGACCGACGTAAAGTGTAGATTTTATAATGTCACGAAGTTTTAACTACTCACATCTGCGCTTAATCTGCTGAGCAATGTACCCCGGGCCCACTTTATTAAAAGATGGCAACGTATCTACAACCCTACAGAAGTTGCCGGTGTCCATCGGAGGCGGTTATCACTTAAAATTAGGTGAACCGCTAGCTTGCTTAACATAATAAATTACATAATAAAACCGGTAACTCGCCAGACGCAAAGCAAAACTATTCTCATTACTTACAATTCATGACGGTGTTCTCTGAGGCCGTGGCCTCCCTGTAAAGGGGTACACCTTGGTGCAACAGAAATAGCTGCCACGTGGCAAAATTGCGGCGAAAGCTCACCGCGTCCGTTCCGTCCGCAGGTGTGGTTCCAGAACCGGCGGGCGAAGTGGCGGAAGACGGAGAAGTGTTGGGGCCGATCCACAATAATGGCGGAGTACGGCCTATACGGCGCGATGGTGCGCCACTCGCTGCCACTGCCGGAGACGATACTGAAGAGCGCCAAGGAGAATGACTCCGTCGCGCCCTGGCTACTCGGTAAGTCATCGTGACGCTCCATCCCCTGACGCTGACGCTCCATCACCCGGTTCGGGGGAGGGGGACCTAGTTTAGTTGGACAAGTCGCTGACTGCAATCGATGTCGTTTCTTCTACTCTACTCTTTCTCTACTCTTGCGTTCCTCTTTTCAAAGCTAGCTTTATACTCTACTGCACTTGATAGTCAATGTCATGCATTCTTCTCTACTCTCTATTTACGTTCATCGTTCCTCTTTTCAGAGTTAGCTTTATACTCTACCCCACTTGATAGTCAATGACAATATATTCGCTATAGAGCTGTAGTCAGGAAGGTGAGATGGAATCCAAGTGAAATTAGTATAGCAGTAAGGTATCGATATTTGAACGGAAATAAATTCAAGTTCAATTACTTTTTGACTTTCATGCCAATTTGACAACAAAATTTGTATACAATATAGTATTACAGTCCACTCGCAACAGCTTGTAGCGATAAAATAATTCCCAGAGTGTGTTATCATTATTTAAATGATAACACACTCTGGGAATTATTATTATTAATCACTAATATTATAATAAACTTTAATACACAAATTAACGTTCTCTTAAAATTTACCAACTGATTCATTTTGAAGTAGTAGAAGTTGACTTCCAGCAATTATTTATCTCTAACTGAATTAAATAACACTAAAATAACAGTAAGAAACTAATAGCTTACTTATTATTAGATCACATTTAATTAAATATATATAGGTTTATGACCAAATGGTATACAATGAATATTTTTACATTAAATGTAGCTTCAAATTAAAATTTAATTTGAGGCTAACAGTGAGTCTAGATTTAATTTTAAAATACAAAAACACCATAACACATTACTGGGTTCTTGTATACGTGGACGACACAACACATTCAGTTAGTTAAACTATTAACAAATATATCGAAAGGATGGTTGTAAAAATTAATTTTATGAAGGTTGGATATTATCATCACGCGTTAATTGTCTATTAAATGTAATCGTCCGAATAAATTATATGTTACATGTATCGGCAATCTTTACTTGAAACTTTTAAGCGAATAAACCTAATAGACTTCTATGTGACTAAAATGATCATTATTTAATATTTTTTTGATAAATGATGAATATTTAATATTCATTTGAAAAATCAATATATATAAATATGTTATATACAGGAAAAAAAAGATTTAAACTCTTAAAGTTTTTACCTATAGAACTGCCGCATCTCTTAGTAGTAAAATCTTCATGAACGGCTTAATTAAACACACGAGACGAAGAAATATATACCTACCGGTTAGTTAGTCCGATGGTTGGTTTCCATGCCAGGGGATTCCGGTTTCAATCACGGTTATTTTCAACGAGCTACTATTCCTAAAAGATATTGCTCTGATTTTAGCGTGATTTAAAATAACGTCGTGGAGTCGACCAGGGTCTACTAGTCTTGTATTTTTTTCCGGAATTCGGATTTAAAATATTAACTATATTCGTAACGCAATAGCCGTGATAGTCCATTGTCCGGGCGCTCTATTTAAATTCAATATATTCAGTTCTATCCCCGGTGCCAGCACCAATGAAATTTAATTTTGAGTGCTGACTTATCACGTGCGCAGCAGTGAAGGAAAACATCGTGAGAAAACCTGCATATTTTCGAAGTTATAACAAAAAAAAAGTATTTCGAAGGTATGTGAAGTCCGCCAACCCGCAGTAGGCCGCGTGGGGGACAATGTACCAGAGTGCCCTACCCTCTACCCTCTGTACAGAGTAGCCCTTTGCCCAGCAGTGGGAAATGTATAGGCTGTTACGGCCTTCTACGTTGCTTTTGATATTTATTGGAAGGGATTTTTAATAAACTTATAGGTTACGGTTCTCCAAACAAACATGAATCAACTTCAACCCGCTAAGTTTATTTGGTACAGAAAATAGTAATATTGTTTAATCGGATTGTATTTGTACTATCCAATGCTTTTTTAAGAAACGTTTCAGTATAGTTATCGAAATCTACAAAAATCGTATATATACAAAATAGAGCTTTGAAACTGGCAACGCACTGTCAAATTCATAAGGAGAGGGGACCTAATAAACGAAATAATACAAGAAGTTATCTTAGTTTCGTGCATTAGATTCTTAAAATATAAAAAATATTAAAATCAACATGTAGAGCTATCATTTGGAATACTATATACTGTGGTGAGAAATAAAAAATTATTGTTATTATTATAATCAATCACAATCACAATAGGTACATAACAAAACGCGTCTCTGCCATCCTCGTACGGAAACCAACTTCGCGTGTCTACCAACGTACCGCCCTGAGAGATATCTGACCTGATGATTTTGTTCAAGAGTCGAGCGCGATGGGGGAGGCAGGGCGCCCCTAGCGGCGACCCCCCACCCGCCCGCCACCGCGAGACGGTGAGTCTCACCACACTAATATGCCATGGACGGTCACACCCAACGGTGCTCAGCCGCTATAATTAGCCGACGCTTGAACAAAATCATTAGTTTAGGCTGTTACAGCTTCCGCGCTAGTCACGTCCGCTTTAATCGATATACAACCAGTTCATCACCGTGGTAGAGAAACGCCGCAGATGCTGCATGAATTATACGTCTTGACAGGGAGCGGAGAAACGGTGTCAGTAAAGTATTTATAGTGTTTAGGCTACGAACTGTCGCGAATTGTCGAAGGGCAGAGTTTAAATTATGATCAGACGGAGAACTCGTTTTCAAAGTCATAGTCATAATATCTTTATTCAATATAGGCTTAACTTAAGCTCTTCGTCAAAAAACTACCACCAGTTCACTAAACTAGACCTGAACTGAGAATAACCGGCAAGACACTCCGATAATACAATACATTAAAACCGCATATTCAATGCGGTTTTAATGTATTGTATTTATGTTGTAGTTGTATTCACTTTTTTTACGTGAAAAAGTGTGAAGTAAGCAGGCGGTTCACCTGATGTTAAGTTAATACCACCGCCCGTTGGCATCTCATTCACGTTGAAAACTTTTAAATATGTGGGCCCCTTTTACGTCACTCACCAGACGAAACACGAACGTATTCCGGTGCACGCCGGGCTTCTGTGATTAGCTCGGTCCTGGTACTTCCCTGGACGAGCCTGCCCATTTGTGCAACAGTAGGCGCTATGACCCGACCACAGCTTTCACATTTTGGCTTTTTATATTGCTTCGCCAGTAGAATATTCACATTGTAACACCAAGCAAGACCCAATAAACGTGTCAGTTAATTATTCCAACGTAGAGATTTAAGGAACAAATTTTACATCTCGTTAATGTATTCTGTATCCGTTTAATTACTGTCAAAACACCTAATGAGATACATTATTCTGACAAGCTGAATATTAATTAGACCGTGATGTTTACATCACTCCAGTTTTGATTTTGGTATTTTTGTTAATATAATGCAACACAAAGTGTAAATATTAATTATACACATATTCTGTATGGTCATAATAATAGTATATTTTAAAGATAAATTTATCCTTTAAGAAATTCAATAAGGGATTTAACTGTGGTAAGGCCATACAACTGTCTTCACTGTTACACGAATGGCCAGGTCTGTCCGGGTAAGTACCATGACCTCACAGCGTGAAGTGTAGGTGTTCTACGTCTGCGTTCCGTCTTCTGAGTGAGGTAGCCGGGGCCCACTTTATTATAAGGTGGCAACGCATCCGCAAGCCTACGATTGTTGCAAATGTCTACTTATCACTTAACATCACTTGCTACCTTATCACAAAAAAATAGCTAACACGTTTTAGAAATTTAGTTAATAACAAAAGAAAGGTCTTAAACAAAATTTCAGTGCAATTACAAGCACTGCTTAGTTTGGGATCTTAGATTGGGATGTTTTGCGTTGATATTAGTTAAAATGTTTTGAATTCTAATCGCCATTTTTCTTTACACACACACACACTTTTCTTTACTAACTATTCTTTACTCATGTTTTTGTAACTTATATTTCTTTCTAATTAAATAAATAATTTTTACAAAAATATTTATTTGAATAATAATCAGTTTTAGAGAATTTTCCTCCACGAACACAATTCACATTCCGCCAGGTCCAAAGAATGCAATCACTTAAATGAACAAACATTGACTGCTTTCTGCGTATCGTCTCGAAACTTATAGTTACAACCGTAATTTTCTTTCTAACATTAATTCTAAACTCGTGATTTGATACAAAGGAACATAACCCTTTTATCTGTTAAGTACTAGCTCGGTTACAAATGTTTTCATCTGTCACTAATCCTAAAATATTATTGGTTGTATTTGATTATAATAATTTAATATATTTAGTTTAAATATAAAAATAAATTATAAGCATGATGTAAAGGTCAATTATAAAATCTCTAGAAACGTCTCTATAATCCACACGAGATTTTGTTTTGTTTTTAATCAAGCTTTTACACCAATGACAATTTCTACTACAATTTTTAATAAATTTTTACCTACAAAATTGGATAGCTTTTTCTGTTGACAGATATTTATCGAAGAGACAGAACTGTTGTACGCTAGTTTTATGGTTATTTCAGTTAGATCTTTCAACCTGTACACGTTGGACAATGAATAGCATTAATAACTTGTACTCGAAACCAGCTGACCTAAACGTGCCTCAAGTGTCTGCCATATTGGTATAGTGCAGTATCAAGTATCAATCCTTCTATTAAATGCCACAACACGTTTAGAAAAACAGCGAAAATCTTCACAAATTAGCAAAAACATCTTCACAACTTAGTTAAAACATGAAGAGTAAAACACCGTATCACAATCATGTGATAATGTGTATACATTTAAACGACAAAAACCACAACGTGAGCGCACCTGCATTGTGTCGAACCGCACAAACGTTTGAAAACCCCGATCTCGATGACAGGATTACTTCTAGCGCGTTAGAACAAATGCATGCGATCCCTCTACCGCTCTCCCGCTGAACAAAGCCACGTATAATTTTTAATCTCAACAACGGAGATGCTCATTTTTCACGGCGAGGAGTCTAGTGGGCGGCAACTTTATGCGGACCACGGAAACTGTGGACTTGCAACCGTATCGCGTTCGCGGAGGGCACACGGCGTTCGCAAGCTCCGGTAAGCTGTACATGACGGAGACAAGACTCCTCGACAGCTTATGAGAAGCTTTCTATTTGTTTCAGTGGAAACGCGCGAGTGTTTGCGACCGCCTCGCGACAGCACTTTGTCATTTGTTGTAACGTCATTTTAGTTCGTATTCATGCGGCTCCGCAGAGGTTTTACGGCTGTATCTCAGTTTTTGGTGATTAACGATGGCGGGGCGTTTGAGACAGAAGCGTCTTTTAGTTTTATGAGTTTTTCGAAACATATTGAAATCGGTATCGATTTCAGGGATGTGTGTTTTATTTGTATTCATACTTTGTGATACCACAATCGACTTCAAAGTCTCAGGGTATTGGTGTACTTGCTTTTTCTCGTAAATAAACAAAGGACAACGATATATAATATAGACTCAGTCTAGATCAGCTCTGTGTTATCCAGCTTTATTTTGTTCCCAAAGGATTAGATATTGAAGTATACAACCGGTTCAAGCTTCGAAGTTTGCAGTGTACTGAAACATAGATTTGCTTAAGAATATTCAGTCCGGCTCAAATAATTTTGACTTAATAGAATCTGGTAGAACTCGGTAGCTAGATGCTGAAAACATTGCTAATTTAACTGCATTCTCATTTCATTTAAGTTCCCCACTTCGAGTTTTAAAAATAAAGAAGTAACAAGTTACGGTTACCATATAGTATTACAAACAGCCGTAGAAGGAATGCAATTGGAGATTAGATGATTGTAAAAATGAAATATATTCTTGTGTGTGCATTACCAAGTTTAAATTGCATCAAAACCTGTGAAAAATCCACGATCACACTCAATCCAATCGGGGCAGACGTCGTCCGCGCCCGCGGGCTATAAGCAAGTGTGAATAGAGCCTAAAGTTTGCCTTTAAGCCTGCGCGGTGGGGGAGCAGGGGGGGGGGGAAGCGAAAGGGGGGAGCGACAGGCAACGGGCGGGACCAAGATGGCGGCGCATTGTCTAAGCCTTGATTAACGGAGATTTTAAGGGCTGCCTGCGCGTACATATTAATTATGTACTTAGCTCCCGTCGCGTTTTTTCTCCACTTCCGCGTACATACGTTTCGACCGGGAACACAGTGATGCCAGCGTCCGTTATGTACGACGCGAAAACTAAAGGAGGCTTTAGTTCGGGTGGGATGCTCGTGGTATCGGCGCACTAATTTCTGTTTGGGCGGCACTTGCTAAGTGTTTTTCGTGTTTATTTATAGAAAAGTTGGATCTTTAATTGATAAATAGTGGAAAGAGAGCGCTAAGTTGAAAACAAACGTGTACTAAAATACGGTGTTTTACTGTTAACGCATCAAACAAATTTCGCGGATTAGTAAACCTGAACTTAAATGACTGCTTAAAGTTCTAAATACATTGAAAATCCTTTGCACAAAAGTACTTAGTAAAAGAATAAATACTTAATATGTTCTTTATTTTTTATTTGTAAAAAATATACTCTATTATTACCTTACAAGATAATTATTTTCCTGTCCATCTTTCTATTTATGTTATAGTTATATGCTTAGAATTAAGTTTGTTGTACATACTTGTTATATTGTGTTCGCCAAGAGCTATAATTGTCCGTGGTTAAAATTGAATTCACGATGTTAAATTCTCTTACCCTTTCTAAACATTAACCTTCTGTTATTGAACTACAACAATAACAATAGCACTACTAGTTGAACCTTAAAATTTCCGAACTGCCGTGATCACACCTTGCTCAACCCTTTTCAATCTCATATGATCTCAATAACGGAAGCCACATATTGAGTCATCTTACTACCTCTACTTTGTTTCATGGCGACACTATCTTATACACCCTGTACTCATACATGTTAAGAACTAAAAATCCCTCTAAAAGCCTTAAGAACTAAAAATCCCTCTAAAAGCTCACAATTTGACTTTTCTTTCATAACACATAATGTGCGGCAAGTCGATACAAATAAGCTTCGGACCGTACTTCGTAGCAGTCGTGGGAGAGGCTTATGTCCAGCAATGGACCGAAACATGCTGAAATGGTGATGGTGATCAATTTTCACTTATCACTTATTTAGTCATAAGTGAACATTATGTGCCACGCATCTGCATGTTTCCATGATGAGGTGACATAACTTTTACTACTGATGAGGAAGTAGAAGTACAGATGTAGCCTCGAGATAACATGTAACCAACTTCTGACCGTCTTTCATATCAACGCATCGCTAATAAAAATAAAAGTCAAATACAAAGAAATTATTTTAATGAACTAATTGTCTTTTTTATAAATGTGCTCTTATTTTTTTAATATGTTTAATCAAAACGTTTTAAATGATTTTTTCTTATGTAGCACCTAAAAAATTTATTATATTTACCTTCATCGTTAACTCGTAAGAGATTTTTACGGACATTTTGTGGTTTATTTATCGGTTTGTTACATTTAATTCTGCAAAGGATTACAGGAATTATATATTTATACAACATTTCTCATGTTGGCTGCTGTCCAATATATTGAGGTGTCACCCTCCACATTCCTGTGTTAAATACGATATTCCATCGAATTAAGTGTTTAAAATTAATAAAATCGTTACTCGAATATTCTAAATAGTACTTATAGCTACATCCGTGTCGAGATTACGATACCCAAGCGCCAACTAGCTCCTCACTCCGACAATCGTACCGCATCTCCGATCCCGTCGCGACAGTTTCTAACGGCATAGCACCACTACATTAAATCCTCCAATTCACAATTGCAAGTGCTTCCTTTTAGACATTTGACACTCCAGCCGGTGGAGTGTCGCCGACGACGCCGCCCAGCGTCAGTCAGACACATCAAAGCACCGACAAATGGACCGTAATGGATCGTGAGGGCATCTCACGGAATTATCTGCCTATTACGCACTCGCTTTGTGCAATCCGCTTTCATCTCGCCGAGTGACATCGCGGGCATTACCGCTAGTGAGGTATTAAAATCCGCGCGCTCTCACCGGATTCCGCGCCAGACAAAGGCGTTCCACCACAATTAATACGGCTCGATGGCACTTGCCAGGTTTGATGGGCAAATTGACACTCTGCCGACGAATTTGATGTCGGCGGATACGAGGCGGAAGAGCCGTCGCGAATTCCCTTTGATTTCGACGTCCGCCGCCAAATGGAGCCGCGCTATCGACTCGACGGCGACCAATTTTGACATTTCCAGCAATTTCCCTCCCGGACACTCCCAAAGTTTATCGACAGATGGCCTGTTTCAAATAACTAGTCTGAAGGAAAATATCGGCTGTCGTGGTGGAAGCTTTCTTCATAAACATTTCAAGTCCATCAGCTTGATCGATCAAGATGGAACTTGTGTGTGATTGACATATTCAAGCTTGAGGGTAAGCTAGTTAGCACACGCTGGGTCTGTAAATATCCTAAATAAAAATCAATAGATGTTTAGCAGCTTATTTTTTCTTTTACCCGTGATTGCTAAGAAGTCATCGCCAGATGAAATGTCCATAGGCGGCGGTGTTTACATAATTATCATCAGAGGAGCCGTTTACTCGCTATCCTTTTCTCTCTAAAAAATTCCTAGGGTAAGGAATTTTTTCCCCAGTCCATAATCCCCTTAATGTCGGCTCTTTGCTTCAACTAATGAATCACCAATCTTCCCTTAATATGGAACCCAGTGATTTTTAAGGCATTTCCTGCCTCGCACAACCACTCTGTGAATCTAGCCACTGTCGGTGGTCTTTCAAGAAAAGAGCATAACCTAAAAAGCCGACAACGCATTTGTAAGCCCTCCGGTGTTACAGGTGTTCATTTTGGACGTTTCACAAACCATCACCATGTCATTAGGCAAGGACCCGATGGACTCATTAACTGCCAAGACATATATTTAAGAAGTCTGTAACGTTCCATCTTCAGGCTTCTTTAAAATAAATACAATACAAGACATATCAATTAATCAAGCGAAGTTTAGAGGCGAAAGTATCCCCGCACCTAAATCAACGCGCCTTCCCATTCACCCTCGCTAATGTACAAAGTTGCGGGGTCCAGACACATCATCACATTAGACCCTAGCCCAAGACCAAAGCTCATTGCCATTAGGCTCCTAACCTGTCATTTATTATACACGCATTTTCATATATTTATTGCTGAATGAAACGACGACGAAGGTTATATAATAATTTGTTATTAAGTTTGAATTATAACCAACATTTAAGGAGCCAGTTTTCCTCGTCATATATGCATATTTTTGCAATTACAACAAGCATAGATCATATATTAAAACACAAACACACACATCTGGGAGGTGCTTTATAGAAATAGGCGTCACATTACGTATAACATACATATTACGACAAATCAAAGTTTCGGACAAATCAGTGAAAATATTTCAGCAGACCATGTAACATATAATGCAAGAAAGCACGCGCCGTGATTAGGCATTCAACACGAAGTGTGCACAGGCTGTAAAAATCTCGTAAAAACACTATATCGCTGGATATTAAAAGAGCCAGACCGGTGGCGACATCTGACGCTTCGTGTATATAAAACTGGCTGCTTAATAATGAATTTCCCCGAGTGCTAAGACAGAGTAATCAAAATATTCCCTGAAAACATTTTCTTGCAAACTTGCTTAGATAAAGAAACTTCTATACATTTGATTTTCTAGATGTGGTATTTAACACATACTGATTGATTTTAAACAAAACTTTTATAAATAAAAATAAATTACTAACAATGATTTTAAAAAGCGTATGGAGAACTATTCTTTACCTCTTCCGAAACGTTAAAATTCATGTATATCTCGGATTAATGATAGCTCTATTTATTCATGATTATAGCAAGGATGTTAAATATCATCATTCTTGATTAGAAATTTCTTCAATAACAAACAACTGAGAAAAAATTCAAAGAGTAGAGTTTTTTGGTATGTTAGCAAAGAACCTTTACTTATGATTTGTACAGTACATAAGCTCACAATCATGTCGTATTTTTCTTGAATAATATTCGTTTTGTGACTTAGTCTGATGAACGTTTTACTCAAACTACTGTAAAGTTTGACGATAGTCTACTGTATTAGGATAAAGGTTGTCGTACGTTTTCGACCTCTTCAATCTGTAGCAAATCTAAATATTTACTCTGTAGAAAACCTGAATCGTAAGAAACATTTGCATGTCAGCCGAGCCGAACTATGCAAAGCATCGCGTCCTTCGTTTGTTTGATAAGTTTTCCGTGTCCGTTTCATCGGAATTTGCTGCATTTTACGGCACGCGATTAGTCTTTATGATCACGTCTTCGACATACAAGTGAGACAGGATTTAATCATGTATTTATGTCATGTGCGTGTAGCGGCGGCGTGTCTGTACTTGTTGCAAGAATCAGAATCGTTGAGCGATCTTAATTGCAACCCTTGGATGCGGCATTTGTCTCTTATTCTGGATTCATTCGATTATTGATTAAATCTACAGACTGATTACTCTTCTTCTTCCTCCTGCCCTTGTGCCACATACACACCTCGTGGCTAGGGTTTTTTACGACCAGCCCCCTGCATGACGTCAAAACTCATTGGGAACAAACTCATTGGTAACTTACGAACGTATTAATTTTTATGTGAAATTTTTGACATTTCATAAGAACGCGCAAGCGTCTATGTGAATAAATATATTTTTGATATTGATTTTGAAACAAACAACAACGACTCAACCGATGTTGCAAATGTCCATTGGTGGCGGTAATCACTTAACATCAGTTGAACCGCGACAACTTTTCACATAGCAAATAAAAGCACCAAGCCAAAATTTTCCGTTCGTCGACCACACCGCCGCAACTCCTTCTGTTCGGATTGAACGACGAGGGCGCATCGATTATGCGTCGTGGGGCGCTAAAGCCCTTAGGCACGTCATTCGCGAGGTTTTACGAGGCTGCTGCTTTAACCCTGCGGCACACCCGTATGGCGCCTTTATTACGTGTGTCAAGCCTCCTCAAGGCTCGACTTAATAAATTATGGAGGCGCCCGGTGGCATCGGCGACACGATTTATCGCGGTCGGGGGAAACTAAACAAGATACCGACGCTTCTATGCAATATAAATGAATTGGATACGCTTTTCAAATCATCAGGTATACCACATGCTGTTACGCGCTTTTTAAAATATTTTAAGTGTAAGCCCCTTTATTATCCCCAGTCTCCTATTGTTATGCATTCGTACAAAATTGTGAGAGCATTCCTATGGGTTTCCGTGAAGGTATAACTGAGAAAGCGTCACGATGCGCAGGCATGCACCGCAAGTCGCTGGAGGCGGCGCAGCACCTGAAGGAATCGGGCTCGGAGCGCGAGGGCTCCGAGGCGGAGGCGGAGCGCCCGCATTCCGCCTCCCCGCACCGCCACGACGTGCACGACGCCCAGGTAAGGTTCCACTTGTGTTGGTTTTACAAGTTAGCATACCCCGGGAGATACAATCGGGTTACGTTGACATCCTATAGACTGGAACCCCACGTATGTTGGCGTTACACGCTTTAGCATACCCCTGGAGACATTGTCGGGTTACGTTGACATCCTATAGATTAGAATCCCACTTATGTTAGTGTAACACGCGTTAACAAACCCCGGGATTCTGTCGGTTACGTTGGCTGGGTGAAATGTCCCTCGTCTGCGTTCCGCGGGATTAACGTTTAAGGCAATATAAAATTTCTTCGCGGGTATTAAAATTCGGTACCTCAAAGCTCTAACGAACTATCGAGCTTCATTTACTGTTACAAATGGGGATGTGAGGATTGTTTCAAGTTCATACCAATTTCTTAATCCGCAATCGATCGAATTCTGTGTTGACGTTGCATTTCTTCAAAATGTTTATTAATACGTTTATTCATATTACTTTAAACTATTTACTATAAAGCTGAATAAATGTAAAAACAAAGTTGCCACAGAGTCGCTTAAACGCGCTAGCCGTCGATTCTAGACCATTCTTAAACGACCGTACACTGTGGACAATTAATGTAAAGGCGATCAATTTAAGTACAGCGGCTGAATAGCCAACACGTCCACCACCAGCTACCGCTTCAAAGACATCTGACTTACATCATCGCTACCACGTCGAACGTTCCAGGCGCAAAGCTCGCCAGGCAGCAGCACAACGGCCTCGTCCTCCGCGAAGGGGCGCGCGTCGCCGGAGCCGGGCCGCGAGCTCTACGAGGACCCAGAGGCCTTCCGCAACAACAGCATCGCGTGCCTTAGGGCGAAGGCGCAGGAGCACCAGGCCCGGCTGCTCTCCAACAATCTTCTCCTCCAGGTGAGTAACCGTACCACGCACAGCCCCAGCGCGACAGCACCCTTAGCCTCTCAGGTGATTACTTAGCCATGTACGCCCGTAGTGTGTCAGCACCTTTAGCCCGGTCTCTCAATTCAAGGTACTGGACGAGCACACGAGGCTGCAGCTGTACGACGATCTGCTGATGCAGGTAAATATTGTGCGTCCCTTCTTTTAGAAACGGGGTTTTGTGAAAAAGGTGTGCACCAATCCCAGTTCACTTCCAGTTTTCGGGTCTCTTACATTCGCCTCATCTAATCTTAAACATGTTAGGTGTCTGTACAGACACGGGGCATATATGAGAATGTGTTCCATTCTCTGAAGTCGAGCCCATGATCTTAAATATCCACGACGCAGCCTGATTGGGCACCTACTATCACTTGTGTGCACAGACCAGTTTAAGACGGCGTGCTCCTACAGTTAACGTATGCCTTATACGGTAGCAACGGAATACGATATTGAGTATATACGAACGTGTTTAATAGTAGGCGCTTATATAAAAGTGTTTGCATGTAAATGTTTATATCATTTAATCATCATAAATATACACACAATACCATTCCCATACTTTGTACGGATTTGTAAGTTGCTGTTCCATTTGAACTATCAGTGACTTACAAAGAAAGAGTGAGCCAGCTATATCAGTCGTACTAACGGGGGCACTTTAACTATAAGGGGGCGACCGTTAAAAATGAAGATTACAACAAACATGACCAAACATCTTATGAAAATAATAGTACAATTAACGGTTGCCTACTTATGCCCGGTTCCTATATTCAACGAACGGCCGTTGGTCAAATAGCTTCCTAACTTTCATAACGACTTGTAGATTAAAGGAACGCTAGTAACTCACTTCCCGTAGGTAATGCAACCGCTCGTAAGGAAAATGCCTCGTATTGTTAATATAGGAACCGGGCGTACACGCCTTTTATCTCCAAGTCGTTATGAAAGTTACGAAGCTATGTAACTAAAAACCTTTAGTTGGATATAGGAACCAGGCATTAGCACAGCTAAATTCGCTTGGGTTGGGTGTGTGTGATCGCTCGAAGCGGTATATCATCCTATACGCGAAACGCTCTGGTTGTTTGCTCAGGTGCGCGGTCTACAGCGGGCGGGCGCGGTGGGCGCGGGCGCGATGGCGGGCGCGATGGCGGGAGCGGTGGCGGGAGCGGGAGCGGGAGCGGGCAGCGAAGAGGAGAACCCATTGGACATAGACGTCGGCACCGAGGCGCCGCCTCCCACACGGCTCTACTGACCGTGCACTTACGCGAGCGACGCGTACGGTTACTTCGATAACTGATGTACAACGGAGCTGTGCGCCTCGCGGTCGAATGGAGCGAGCATAGCCCGTGTGTGAAGTCAATTATTCGAGAAGATATCCACATTGAACCATATTGCGGGAAGTTTTCCATTGATGAGTTGACGTTTCGATGCAGCATGCACCTGAACACGCCGTGTCCGTAACACAGCGTCGGTTAAAATGTGCAAAACTCTGATGACGGTGATTCGCAAACATTATGAAGAATACGAACGACAAAATCGTTATTCTTATCTTTTATTTTTTAATAATTATTACTTTACACCAGATGCAGCAAACTGACTCACACACGGGAAATCCTTCTTCATTTCACTTTGAGGCGCCTTTCGTTCACATTTTAATCTATTATTATTCTGTAAATTGGTAAAACAAGTAGTAATGTATTGAAGACTAATGACAAGATTAACTTGTATATACGACCACAGTCTATATATTTCATTTACAAATGAATATGAAGGTAGTTGGCGAAATATTTTTATCGCCTCGTTAATATAGAGGACGCTGAGGGCGTCATTTGGCCGAGCGCTTTCACTACCCAATTTTCGTGCAATACGTTTAGTTAAGTATTTATCCGTTTAGCCAGTTGTGTTAGCGTTGTACAAAGTTCACCCGCACTTAGATTAGTTGTACACCACAGAGTAAATAACAGTGAGGTTTCAGTATAATAACAGCTATGAAATTACACGGAAATAGTAGAAATCCCTCCGCGACAATTAATAATTTAAAAAATTTATGAATAAATTTAATATTCTTCATGCCAGTACTCAATACTTTACTTTCATTTAAAAAATTCAAATCATTACGGTGCCGAATTCTCATGATGTTTACTCTGTGGTCTCGTTGTGCTCTATTAGCTATAAGTAAAACGTCAACATGCCGTCAAGATGTGTAAATGTTACTACCGTAGTTTAAAATCGGTAGTAAATAATTTAAAAGCAATGTCCGGCGCCGACCGAAAAATTTATGCATTACCTTGTAAATTCTCCCGAAACCGTCGGCGTCGGCATTATGCGTCTAAAACTTTAACATCGTGTACATTAAGTTGTAAAATTTTAATATTGGGTGCAATGTGACTATGCTATTAGGGCTAAAGCTAGGAAAACATTTTGGAAAGGTTGTCTGAACAAAATAAATCATAAAAGAGCAATTATTAAATGCTCACAATTTAATACTTTCACCTAATAAATTGATAAGCCATAACACCTAACAATTTAATAAATTGGTAAGGTCTTTAATTGGATTTGCTATGCAAAAGCAAGCAAAAATTTTATATTTTTGCGTGATTTGTTTTGTAAAAGCAATTTGTAAAAGCAACAAAATTGTAATATTTTTTAGGATAACCATTATTTAAATATTTGTGAAAATACGTCAGTTATTAAAAAAAAATAAACGAATAATTACATCGAATACATTCCAAAAGACTTGATCTCTTTACATTGAAAATGATGATTAAAAAAAATCAAAGAATACGAACTTAATGCTTAGCGTGAAAAACGTTTTTAAGTTAAGTTAAACAGTATTGAAATCGTTTTAGCTTTTAAGAAGTAACATTAAAAACAAACTGAATTTGTCTGTATGTTTGTAACTTAGTGAATTTTAAATATACTTATCCTTAAAAATATTATCAGAGCTATATTTAGATGGTGGCTGTGTTGCAATATCAAAGAAAAATTAAAACGATTAAGAGTTATGTTGCCCTATTCATTAAAGTCATTAGGAAAAATTAAATGTGTATCCCGAAGAAGTTAACTTGACGTTTTATTTTAAATAGTAGGTAATTATTTTCTTTAAAATGTAGATGTTTGTAAGTAGTTGACATTAAACTATGTATACGGAATGACATATTCCTTATTAGAATTCAGCCTACAAATTGTAAATATCTGTGTTAAACACATCGAAATTGATTGATCGAAACATTGTAATGTTGATTTATTTTAAATAATAAATTGTCTGCAACGATGTCCAACGATTACTTCCGCTTCGGACGATACAATGTAATATATTTTAGAATTTCGGCCTCAAAAAAATTATGTATAGTAAATCTTTAAGCCCAACGTCGTACTTGTACTTAATAACTATAGAATTGTAATATATTTATTGAATTAAACGAAATTAAGTAAAACGCGAGAGGTTTGTCGCGGAACGTAAGGTCCTTTCGATGAATAAACAAACTGTAAAAACCTAACGGCTTGTTTATCTTATATTACCTCACTTTAGAATTAGTTGATCCATGTTCTCATTTATTATATACCATATTCCACCATCCTCACTAACTTACCAAGTGATGTCTTTTTTCTGTTTCGTTATGTTGCCACGCAACAGCCTCGGCTGTTGCATAAATGGGCATGGCAGTCCAGGTAAGTGAAACCTCGCGAAAGACCGGCGTTTCGTCTGGTGAGTGAGGTAGCCGGGACCCATTTTCTTCATTCATTCAATTTATTTATTATTTGAATCTGCATCTGCCCTCTAAGACTATAGCCTCCTGGCTATTCTAAATAATATTACGACTTCATACAAATTAAACTAAAAAAATACATAAGAACTACTAAAGATACTTATCCACAATTATATTAAGATCTCTTCTATCTTAGTCGCTTCAGACGCATTCCATAACTACATCTTTATTTGTATTGCAGTTTCTACAATTCTGGGATTGTACTTTCCATATTAAAAAAAAACAACATACTATAATTTCGCTCCAAACGATTAAAAAATCTAAGAACAACTAATAGATCACGTCGATCTGCGGTTATATGAAATTGACACGAAAAATTAATTATTTTTCAGTTATTCAATTAGAATCCTAATGATGACTCGATGGTGCCGTTGCTAAGCTATTGGCTTCGGCGAGGGTCGTGAATTCGATTCCCACACGGGACAAGTATTCGTGTGGCCCACAAAGAGTTGTCCCGGATCTGGGTGTTCGATTCCCAAAGAGGGTTGACGTGAGGCGGGCGGTCGGTCGTAAACAACCTAGCTAAAATCACATTCACATGTTGAGCCGACCACACCTAAGAGGCGTAAGGGCAGGATGTTGACGAATTAGAATCCCAATTATAAATTTAAGACAATTATAAAATGTATTAAGCTCGCGGTAACTGTAGCTTTCCCATCGGCTCTGTGCCTGAAGTACCTACAAATAGGTCTGAATATAAAAAAAAAAAAAACAAAAACCTTATCCAAACCGAAATCAAAAATAAAACACATTTTGTAACAAACATTTAATATATTCAAGTAGCACATTTATACATAATAGCATGAAACAACGTTGCTGCATAATCAATGAGTCGTTAAAAAAATATAATAATCATGGCACGTTAAAACATATTGTACTTACTTTATCTTAGCAACATTGTAAAACCAGATCAAAATTACTTATCCATTATCCGTCCCTTAATCATGAATGGAAAATATTGGAACCATCGATAGTTTCTATCAAAAATAAACGCGATAACATCCGTATAAGTAGTTTCATTTAAAACGTGCAATGTTCTAATTATTTATGCATTCATTAACATTTGTGTCTATGACCTAAACCAACGGGAAGGCAGAGAAGCAGAGATTATTGAGGCCCCTTTCACCCCAACTCAACCACTACATTTATAAGCATTTCAAGCAACATCAAACCACAACGTCATGAAGACTTTCCATCCAAAATGTTATTGACTCGAGCCGCTAAAATAAGGCACTCCATCGTTAAATTGATCATCATGATGACATTAAACACTGCTCCTTAGTGAATGGAGAACTAATACTTTCATAAATGATTTACCAAATGACACAAACCGAATCATTTTTTAGCTGCTAAAGTTGTAAGCCGTATTGCCTATCCATATTGTGCGTCGCTAGTGCAAAGTATCAAAATATGTTCATGGACTATATGCAAAAATAATTTGCCTTACGGACACAAAATAGCTTTTATTACAACTGTGGTCTCTAAAGCATCATACCAAAATCCGCCTAATGGTCTAGTGACTTTAACCCAGCTAGGATTAAAATCGACAACAGAATAGCATCGTCACAATAGTAGTAGAAATAGTTAAAGGGATGTTGATAGTGACAGTCATTTGAATAGTAGTGTTGAGTTTGAATGTCGTTGAGAGGGTTTTAAACTTATGGAAAGATCGAGTAAAGATTTGGATGGAATGTGTGAAGAGTTATATAGTCTGTGAAAGTGCTGACTATTGAGATGACGACTGATAGTAGAGGAAAGTGGAATTAATGAATATGTTGTATGACAAGTACAGGAGAAAGAAGAATACTATAGTGGTAGCAGTTAGAAATGAGCCTCCACGAGCGGTGTACCATTTTTCACCAGTTATAAGTTCGGTGGAAGAAATAATCGAGGTTTTAACGACTATTAGCGAATATTTTCACCGCGATAGCAAACGTTTTACGGCCAATCTTTGAGCCAAACACAACAACCTACTTTGACCGTAATATAAATAAACATTAAAGTATTTAATATACAAAAGCTTTCCTTTAAATTTTCCGCCAGCAGGCTACGAAAAAGTACTACTAATAGACTACTAATGCATAGACGCACAACTATCGTCCCCCCTGTACCCTGCTGTCTTATTGATTTGATGACGATCAGGAATCGTTCTCATTTATCCATATAATTTCATTGACCCCAGACATTTATCGGTATCCTTCAACCTTATTAAGATCTAAAAGTGCGGCATTGCCGTTTTATATCCTCAGAACCAGAAACGAGTTAACGCAGGCCACCAACATTTCACACCAGATTCCAGACGAATAGAAGCGTGGAAGTTTTTTTTTGTACGAATAACTTGCGAATTAATATGAAGAAAGTACTATGGGGTTGCACGAATGAGTCGCGTATGGAATGCTCTGTACAAAAATCAATACCGCTTCCCTATTTCTCCGCAGCTGATGCCACGGTCGCCATCACCATGACAACTGAATAATAAAAAGCAAAAGGCTCATTTATGGTAATTGTTTACAATCTTACGCACCGTTTTTCGAGCTTACAAAAAATCTATCCATTAGAGAAAAACCACTAATGAAATAATCAACAATTTCAAACGGTGAATTGGAAAAATCAGGAAAGCTGATTCTGTCATAACAGGGAAAAATCTCTACAAGGAAGTCTTAGATTTGTAATTGTAGCTTTTAGACGATACAACCACCTACGCCTTTACAAATGAAGATCAAACAAGGAAACATTAGCACCATCGCATAAAATACGATAACAAAGCTAATCAGAAACGTTTCTACATCATAATTGTGGATGACAGTATAAATAACATTAAGATACAATAAATATACGTACACTATGGCAGTCATATCCTGGCACATAGAATAGTCTTCCTTGTTTACTTTCAAAATTCAACAATATTACCAGCTAATAAAAATATATTTCATCTTTGACAAAACATGTAGAAAAAGTACGAAAAGATTGTCGCCGCTGTGGGAATCGAACCCACGTCTTCGGCATTCGCGGCCTGACACTCTAGCCACTGAGCTAAACGGCTGAGCTATCAGCCGTTTAGCTACATGTTGTAATGTTCAATCTTAAGTGCAGAGATTAGCACTTAAAAAAAATATTTTTTAAAAAAACATTTTCTTGTACACAAAACAATATTAAATGAAACAGTTCACTGCATACTTATTACACAATATTTTGTTACATATGAGGAAACAGACATAAACAATGTTAGGAATACAAAATATTATTTTCATAAAAAATTGAGATATAGTTTGAAACACATTAATCTTAATCAATACTTAATTATGTTCATACTAAATTCATCATCATCAACTAATGCAAAGTCAGTAAAGCATCCAAAAGTTACAAAAATTCCTGACAAGCACAATAAATGCAAATATTTTGGCAAACTTCATAGCGAACAGTATAATTAGACTTTAATGCAGATAAAAAATCTTTTTTTTTTATTAGATTAACACTCCAATCCTAACCTAACAACAATATATAAAATATTCTATGTGTTGCCAACAACAACAGTTTTTAAATTGAGGAACAGTAAAAAATATAATTACTATATCAGAATTATTTTCTTAACATGGAATAGTAAATACGGGAATTTCTAGCTGATTGTAGACGGAAACAGTACGGTGGGTATTTAAAATTAATAATTCCTTCGGAAAATATAATTTAAAATAGTAAATAAAATATAATTTACATATAAAATCCATTTCATATGTAATTTATGGCTATGTACGATTAATAATTCCTTTGGTAAATATTATTTAAAATAATGAATAAAATATTTTTTTACATCTAAAATCCAATTCAATTATTTCAGGAATATAACAGCAATATTTTTAATGAACTTGTTACAACATTATATCTTTAAACTGTGTAATAGACAAATTATGGATAATAAAATATGTCATATCTCATGTCTTTTGCTTGACCATTTTTGTAATTCGTGTAATATCTATTTAATACAAATTAACTGCACATTATTTTTATTATTTGTCCCTTTATAAGAATCGATTACGGTCACCACATCTGAATATAATTTTTTTCGAACAATAACTTTACGGTAGAAACCTTATTACAGCATATTAATTCCACCTTTCTCTAATCCCCAAAAATATTTCACATCATACGTATAGCATTTCATATTCTTATTTAGAAAGTGTAGACACCAAGATAGGCCAAAGTTAATTTAAAAAACCTTTTAAAAATACTCTTCAGGTTCAGGTGATTTCTATTTTTTTTTTTCTTATTAATAATAATAATAAAGCACAGGGAACACTACTGTTTTGAAAATGAGTTACTAGATTAATTTTATTAAGGCATTGGCAATGAAAGGACGGTCATATGGCGTTTGAACACAAAGGCTCTTTTGTATAAAGGTGGTGTAAAATACATTGCATATTTTCAATAATTTTTCATAACATTATCAATTATACCTTCCACTTTTGTGTACTAAACTTCGTTATATTTAATATTAGACATTATTTTGAACAGTATAATTATTTCAGAGATGAGATTATATCACATTACTACATTATATCAATAGAATGGCTGCAATATTCATATATTTTTTAAAAACATATACAGCGTGTCTTTACCATCGCGACAATAAATGAACACACATATAGAGGATAACTTTTTAAAATTGTATTAAACATTAACATTGTTTAAACATCAAATTTACCGAGTTATAAAATTTTCCAAAACAAAGAATTTTATAACAACCTCACATATAAAACTGTAACGTAAAGTTCATTTGTAAAGGTCACAAAGCACATGAATGGGTTGAATGAATTTAAAAGAGACAAAACATACTATTAGATGGAGAGGCTTGTAATGCGGCGCTGTGGCAACGACGAATGAAAAGTGTCTGAATGTATGAATCAGTCAGTTGTAGTTTTTTTTTTTTTTTTTTATGGGAAAAAAGCAGCAAACGAGCGGGAGGCTCACCTGATGGTAAGTGATCACCGCCGCCCATAGTTGTAAGGATGTTACAAATTTTGTTTCTTTTTTATTTAATTAGTTTGTTTGAAAAATATTTTTTTTAACTATGGATTTTTTAATGATAATTTTTTTTTATGATTATTGGAAAGAAACGTTAGACTCGTGTTCATTTATTGTCCCGGTGGTAAAGACACGGTGTATACAGCTAATATAAAATACCTATACACAAATAATTGTTGTTCTCTCGATAAAATATTAACTCAACCATTACATACCTCAAAATAATAAATATTATGCTTAAACCGTAATGAAAAATATAAGAAAGAGACACTAAAGTATTAAAAAAACTAAAATATATTACCCTCTCTATCTTCCACAGTCATTCAACATTGTGGCATCCAAAACGGCGTTTCTTTGCTGTGTGGTCGGTTAATACTCAACCTTGTTCGGTCCAACCATGTCCTCGGTGCTCTTCAGCACCAGGTAGTAGCTGTTCACGCACAGGATGCAGTATGCGAGGATACCTGAAAACAGTGATGAGAAACTTTTTTAACATGTAGTGGATGGGGGAAGGATGAAATCTGCTTTAAAAATTGTTATGATTAAAATTTTATAGTTTCAATTACGATTAGAACTTTATATATATACTTTATATCATATAAAAGCTGCACTAGATTTAAAGAGTTTTGAACAATCTCATATGAGCATAGACACACATCAGCTTACAATAATGTTATTCAATTTAAATTTTATATTGCTGTTAACTTAATAACATCCTTAAAATACTCAGAAACATTATTTAAGAACAAGTGTGTTACCTTGTTATTTATCACAGGCATAACTAAAGTGTATTTTCAACATTAAAACCAAGAATGAGTCCATTAATAATAACTGTGTTACAGTTGAGATATTTGTATACCAAGTAGCCTTTCAATATCGTCTCGAGTCCAGAATAGCACAAAAAATAAAAAATATGCTCAAAAAAAGTTGAAACAAACTGTAACACAGATTTTTTTTTAATTTATCGAATTTAGAAATTGAACTTCAGTAAATGACCTGTAGTAATACATAGTTAATAACAATGGTAAGGCTAAAGATAAATAAGAGGTTAAAGTTAAAGGTATACCTTCAAATGTAAAGTAAAATTTAACAAGTAATTAAAAAAATATCTTTATAGATTACACTAAGGTTAAATATAAGGCCAAAGATAAAGACAAAGACAGCCATAAAATAATGAACACTTAAATGGTTAAAGTAAATAAATAAATAAATAAATATTTGCGACACATTCGTACACAACATTTTCTAGTCCCAAACTAAACAAAGCTTGTACTATGGGTACTAGAAAACTGATAAACATACTTAAACATACTTTTCTTTTGTAAATAAATACATATTATACATATAGAAACACCCAGACACTAGAAAAACACCATGTTCATCGCACAATATTTTTCCAGTAGTGGGGATCGAACCCACACCCTCTGGCGCAGGAGGCAGGTACACTACCCACTACGCCATTCGGGTCGTCAGATAAATAATACATCTAATGAAAAATTCGAAGCCGAACTAAATGATACACTACAAACAGACTATAAGGATAGACTTGAAGCTGAAGCATAAAGCAGGCTTACCGAAAAGATCAAACTCAATGTTTTTAGTAAAAGAGAGACGAAGGATAGACTCGAGGCAGCATAATACGGGCTTACCGAAGAACAGAACTCCTTCGAGGAACGCCAAGAATATCTCGGAGCCGGAGCCGTGCGCTTTGAAGGCGACCATCGAGACGAGGACGTAGAGGAGGGCGGCGACGAAGAGGGCGCACATAACGCGCACCCACGAGACCAGCGCGCACGTGTTGCGCTAACAGATGATTTAATAATATAGGTGACGCGTGTCCATACTGCGCTGCGTTTAAAAATTGTCCCCCTTTACATCATTACGTTCTATATCATTTGTCGCATCACTACACGCTAACCGATGATTTAATAATATAGGTGACGCGTGTCCATACTGCGCTGCGTTTAAAAATTGTCCCCCTTTACATCATTACGTTCTATATCATTTGTCGCATCACTACACGCTAACCGATGATTTTATAATATAGGTGACGCGTGTCCATACTGCGCGGCGTTTAAAAATTGTTCCTCTTTATATTATTACATCACTACATAGTATTAAAGAAAGTCGGCCCGCTTTGTCTGTCCCTATATATGCTAAGATCTGTAAAACTACGCAACGGATCTTGATCAGTTGCTGGAGTGATTCAATAGGAAGGTTTATATGTATAATATATAAGTGAAATGGCGACCCGCCTGCTTCGTACGGATGCAATGTATTAAACACATAAAACCCTCCTCCTGAATCACTCTACCTAGTAAAAGAAACCGCATCGAGATCCGTTGCGTAGTTTTAATGATTTAAGCATACATAGGGATAGACAGACAGCGGGAGGACTTTGTTTTATACTATGTAGTGATGTGACAGATGATATAGAGCGTTTTATACGGAAAGAGATAGCGGTCTATAGTTTCAATCTAATTACACCTGTTCAATCTAATTACACCTGTCTGTTTTTAACTCCCGACTAGGGTAAATGCTGTCCCTTCGGAATAAAGAGTACACGGAATCACGTTGTTAATGGTACATCGGAGATGGCCTTAAATAACACACCATTTTAGGTACCATCCAAGCGTGATGAGGGTTTTTGTTATGAGAAAGGGACAAACGAGAAGGCTGTTCGACGTCTCTCTTTCTCTCTCGAGTGAATCATGTTGTTAACGGTATTAGCAAGGTTTTTACGACCGGCCGCCTTGACGTCAACCCTCCGTGTGGGAATCGAACCCACGACCGCAACCCCGAATCAGCCCCGAATCATCTATCCGACTAATTCAATTGGATATTTATACTCCTCCATTTCCATGGTTCCTACAGCACATTTCATTTGAAAAGTTGCCAAGCGAGCAGGCGGTTCACTTGATGTTAAGTGAATGCGGCCGCCCATGGACATCTGCTACTCCCGACGGTTCCAGATGCGTTGACAACCTTTTGAAAATTGGGCTCCGGCCACCTCAATCACCAGAGGAAACGCGAAAGTATTATACTTCCAATTTACGCCGATCTTCTGTGAGGTCGTGGTACTTACCCGGACGAGCCTACCCATTCGTGCAACAGCCGAGGCTGCTGCGTGGCCCTACCGCCGTAAAGGTAAATCGGCATCAAGGTAATTCATCAGGTAAATCGCCATTTCTTTTACTGATGTCAAAATAGTGCTAAACACCAACATCATTGGTTCCCTTTTCACCTTGTGCACGGCGTAGATCAGGGTGGCTGCCAGAAGGATGTGGACTACGCTTGCCACGGCCACCACCAGGGCGGCGGTGAACCAGCGCGAGTAGACCCTCTCCTCCCCGTCTTCCTCCAGGCCCATATGGGCGCGGGCGCTCGCCGCCGACAACGAGCATACCACCACCATCGACATTGACACCAGCTAAAAAACAAATGGCTCCTCTACAATCCCGGCTTGATCCCGAACGAGAAAAGAGTTGTAAACCTTTTTTTTTTAATATTAAATGAAACTAGTTTACGAATTTTATCGCGTTTTTCATTTGGATTTGAACTCCCGACGTTTCGAACCCCTTCCAGCGTTCATGGTCACGGGACAGACTAAGTTGTTACGTCTTGATGTCATAGTTGACCCCGGCTACCGTCAATTATTTTGTTTATTTTTATTCCAATCCACGCAGAAGGAGCTTATAATATTTTTTTTTATAACAGCGTGGATACGATAAAGAAGTTTCTAATGTAATCCTTATATAAAATATCTCACGCCAAAGTAAGAACTCAGATGGCCGAAACGAAATTATTTTTCTTATGCGGGATGGCAAGCGATCTGGCGGTTCACCTTCACATTTGCAAGACCCGTAGGGTTGCAGATACGTTGCCACCTTATAATAAAGTAGGCCCCGGCTACCACATCACTGGACGAAACGCAGAAGTATAACATTTCCACTTCACGCCGGCCTTCTGTGAGGTCATGGTACTTACCTGGACGGACCTGCCCATTCGTGCAACGGCGATGACCGTGACGCGTTTTAAGTGGCCCTTTCACAGTGAATATTATAACAGAGTTTCGTGTCAGTTTTTCTTCAAACAGATATAAATCGCGAAGCTTTGATTTAGTCGGCTTTGGTAAGTCATCATATTTATGGCCACGAATCAAAAGAGTTGTATATAATTGTTCCTCGGAGTCGAGACGTGTATTGTTAATGGGCTTAATTTACAAATTATGAAACTTTAAATGTTTTTTTTTTTTTTTTTTTTTCAATTTAAAACTGGCCAGCACTTGAATGCCATCCCACCTGATGGTAAGTGGCGATGCAGCCTTTGAGGTTAAGCGCGCTTACATCTAAAACTAATTTGATGTCACTGGTATTAATTTGAAAATATAAAAAAAACTATGTTATTTAAAAGTTCCAAGTTCCGACTAGCCAATTTTTATAATAGCTTCTAGCTTAAAACTCTGCTCGGCGCAATCCGAAAATACTATGGACCGGTTTTGTGTTGCAAAACAAAGTCCAGCAACATGTCTACGCTTAGCAGTATGTGCAGACTTACCAAGTGTAAATATCCGATCACCTTGGATCCCAGCTCCAGGCCCATGCACCAGCAGAACGTTGTTATGTGCGGCACGCCCATCTTCGCCTCGACCCCGGGACTGTTGCTGAAATAAGGATATAAAAGTAAGGTAAAGTCACAGCCTATACATGGCCCCCTGCTAGGCAAAGGCCTCATCTATACTGTATCAGGGCATTGTCCGCCACGCGGCCCCACTGCGGATTGGCGGACTTCACATATCTTCGAAATATTTTTTTTGTTATTATTTCGAAAATATGCAGGTTTCCTCACGATGTTTTCCTTCATCGCGGAGCACGTGATAAGTCAGCAATTAAAGTTAAAAACTTCATTTGTGCCGGCACCGGGATCGAACTCAGGTTGCTCGAGTATATTGAATTAAAGGCGAGCGCCCGGACACTGAGCTATCACGGCTCTTCAATAAATAAACTAAATAAGGATATATGCATATGAAACTATTGCAAGTCAAGATTATTTTAAAGATCGTTGGTGTATCTCATGAATTATTTCCGTCGACTACAGTGTGAGTGCCCTTATTAAGGAATGCGACGGCAAAATTAAAACAATTAAATTGGCCTTGTTCGGAACCATGAAGTTTTTACGCGTTTGCACTTCGAAAATGACGTTCTGCTATGTCACAAAACACGAATTGACACCGTGTCAAAACAAAGCATCTATAGGACATGTCGATTACATTTGAGATAATATTCTCTATTACAAGTAGCACGAACAAACACACAAAAACCAAATAACGTTAACAAGAGCTAAGACTGACAAATTGAACAGACATTAGAAAAGTCATTTTGGAAGTTTTAACCTGAAGACCAAAGTAAATAAGTACTCGAAAAACATAGCATCTTACATACAGTTTAGTTTCTGCTCATTTTTATTCCGCGTGGCCTGGATCGAGCCCAACATTTATTCTCGGAGTGAATTTGCAAGCGTCACAAGGTTGTTCAGTCCGAACCTGATATGAATTTTAAATGAAACTCGTATTTCGTTTTTGAACGACAGTTGTCGAACAATTTTCAACTTATAGAGGGACATAACATAGATAAGATAAAACGTTTATGTGTAGGTTTGAATAATATTTTTTCATCATACTATGACTATATAAAAATATAAACGTTTTATAGTAATAAAAGCGGTATCGATTGGACCATATTACGCGACTTCCATATACTAACGCCCGGTTTCTGAAACACTGAACATCGTAGGAGTTAACTAATCAGCTGTCAAACGGCTTTTCAAATATTATTTGAGTTGCCAAAAGTACTCTAAAGTACTCTTCGAATTGATCATTCTGATCATTAAGAAGGGGCGATCGCGCGAAGCCGGGCCATTGGGATTTGAACCGGCTAACCATCAGTGTCCCTACTAGTAAATTGCCGATGCCTCAACCGAATAGTTACTTGCGAAAACTTACGCGATCTCGTTGTTCTCCATCGCGACCTGAAACACTACTGGCGTCAGCCCCAATAAAGTACGGGATGAGCGGAGGACTAAATTAAACAGTTTTTTCACGCTAACGACGGGGTTGGCAACCTTAGCGCAAAGGAGAGGCGGAGGCATTTTTTGTGGCAGGGAGGAAAAAAGTTCTGCGTAGAAGTTTTTTACAAACTTTTTGTTTCCGATATTCAAAGCATCATCCATCCAATCGATGTATCTTAGCCAACGCAGTGGTAGTTTGCCCTTCTTGTAAAAATCAGCTGGACGGGGGAACAAACTCTTATGTTATATAATAATAAGGATTGTTTATGTAATAATAATTTACGATATGCCATTGATATCCTATTTGAAATTAATAGTCGATAATCGATATTAAATACTACTTCGATAAATGCTCTGCATAATAAACATTAAGTCATTCATTATACAACTTATACATGTTATCACATCATAGTTACAAATGTAGGTATGTATAACAATGTAACAACATGTATGTATGTTAATACATACATGTTATATGATATGATAATTATGTATGTGATGTATATTAGGTATCGAGAAAATAAGTTAATAGATATTCCTATTAACTTATTTTTACGCTATAAGAGGAATAATCTACTGCAGTAATCATTGAAAAGTACACGATTTAAGGGAATCTAAAATCTACACAAACATCAAAACATAGGCCTCCTGTATTATAAGACTGTTTCTCATGACTTGCGCCGCGTCCCAACCCCAGCGACACTGAACTCACCAAGGTCACCATCTCGGCCGTATTTGCTGAATCGACTCTACAGGTAGTTGCGTTTTGAATGTGGTGTTTTCATATACATATAAACCTAATCAAGAATTAGAAATTTTCTTGAAATGGAAAACAAAGTAAGGGACAAAAAAGCATTTTCATCCAAATTAGCTCTTTTGGATTCATCAGTCTATTAAGGAATTTATTATATATATATATTATACAATACAATTTTAAAATATTATATATATATATATATATATATATATATATATATATATATATATATATATTATACTTTAAAATTGTATTCAACATTTACATTCTTTAGACATCAATATTTACTTTATTAATTTTAAAGTAAAGTTCATTCGTAAAGGTCACAAAGCATATGAATGGGTTGAATGAATTTAAAAGAGACAAAACATACTGTTAGAAGGAGAGGCTTAAAATGTGACGGTGGGGCGCAAGTTCTATAGGATGTTACAAATTTTGTTTCTTTTTTACTTAATTAGTTTGTTTGAAAAATATTTTTTTTTAATTATGGATTTTGTTTAACGTTAATATTTTTTATGATTATTGGCAAGTAGCGTTAGACGTGTGTTCATTTATTGTCGCGATGGTAACGACACGTTGTATATAATATTGCATTGGATAACGATAATACATTAATTCCTTTTAATTTTTAGACATTTCGAATGTACACAACATCACAATAGTTTTATATGACAAGCCTTGCCGATAATTCACGTAAATATTCCGAAGGACAAAATAATGCGACATCCTGGACATACGCAGCTTTAACAATAGATAAATAAAACATCCAACGATAACAACAGTAAGCAATGGATGAATGCATACATTGCATACACGCACGACAACTTTTTACAATGATCGAGTCAAGTTAGATGCAATCATACTCATATTTTATGTAGGCTAAGTTATCGATCAAGCGATTCGATTGACGTTGAGGAGTCATCATCTACATGTTCGATTTCAAACTATTATGAACTAATTGATGCCCGCGACTACGTCTGCGTAGAATAGGCTGAAGGCGTAACATTCACACAGAAAGACAGATACACATAAAATATGTATATATATTATATTTATATATATTAGCCTATGTATTATTCTGATGTATAAGCTATATTATTGTAATTTAATTAAAATCCATTCAGTAGTATTTGCGTGAAAGAGTAAAAAACATCCATTCATACATACAAAATTTCGCCTTTATAATATTAGTAAGGATATTGGTGCAGGTGACCATCTTCATTGGCATCTATATCCCCGTTAGGTTGTATTTGCCTTGCTGCCGTTTAATAGTCAGTGGGAATGCTATCGTTTCAATGTTTAATTAACTATAATAACGTTGATCGTTTATAGCCCGGATAGATATTCTTCGTCATTTGAGACTAATAATATTGATGAAGGGTATACATACATATATGAGGTTGTAATTCTTTAAGCAAGAAAGCAAGGCTCTACTTAACCATTTAAAAATGAGTGTTTAACTGTGGTGGGGACATGAAACAGTAGCTATGTTGCATGAATGGGTAGATTCGTCCGGGTGAGTACCACAACCTCACAGAAAACCGGAGTGAACTGGAAGTGTAATTAATTAAATTTAAGGGAAAACCTCTTGTGGTTGTGTGTGGTATACCAGTTATAACTGTATAATCCTTTAGGAATATATGATAATATGAGGCAACATTTACGCCGGTCTTCTGTGAGGTTGTGGTACTTACCCGGACGAGCCTGCCCATTCGTACAACAGCCGAGACTGCTGCGTGGCCCTACCACCGAAGTAATCAAGAAGTACAGTTATGTGAATATATTCAATAACTGAAGATAGCTGAGGCTTAGTGCATGAGAATGCTAACTTTCATTATGAGGTTGGGGAGATTTAGACAATGTGGGCTATATTTACAAGAAGATTACCATGAATTGCTTTTACTATTTTAAGAATCGGGCAAGCAACCAAGTGGTTTATCCGATGTTAAATGATAACGACTTCTCATACTTTCAGTTCATGTTATTCTTGTGTGAAGCAATGATACAACCCGTATCCTTATATAAATTATTTTTAAATTTATTGCAAATGACATGTATCACTGATGTAGAACCAGTCTTTTCATTTTTATTTTTATTTTATCACAAACCATAACAATATATTGCCTCAGTTATTAAAAGAATAAAGCATACACAAGCAAGAAAGTAAAAATTATGTTCAAAATCTTTACAACAATCTAAATCTAATAAGACTTGAGCATAAAGAAGTAAAATAAGCAGTCAATGACTAGCAACATTGATCATATCATTAAAAGGAGCTTGCCACATTAATGGAAAATTTTCAGATAGAATGAATCCTTTGCAGCAAATTGCAGTTTCCATAAATGGCATTGGATATTCTTCATTGAAAGTTGATGCCATAACCTAACAATATAATGAATACATTGCAATTGCAATGTAATTCATATGTATTCATAGTGATTTTTTCATGAATGTCATAGTTGTATGCCAACTTATCTAACAAGCAATACATTCTATGAGTAGTAAGTGACCATAAGGTTTGGGGCAAAGAGACAATTGACCACGGCTATCCTCTGGACATCACTACAAATATTTATTCAAAGTCAAAAAGTCAAAGTCAATTTTTTTTTATTTATGATGAAAATATATTATGTGTAAGTTGTTTATTTAATAGATAGGAATATTGAAAAGTTTTTACATAACAAGTTCAGATGAGAGTACTTTCTCATTTCACTACTTTTAGGAGCATGATTGTAATAGTCCTTATATATTGTATGTATCCTTATGTATCGTGCACACAATTTCTAATCTCTAATTTAGTTTTAAACATAAATTTTGCCAAACTATAGAGTAACCAAATAGTTTAAAATTTTGAGAGAGAAAACTTTAAGGCAAAAAATAAGAGGAGCTGAAATGAAGGATACCGAATTGTTTCACTTATCCGGCTAATTGTAATTAATATTAGAGGAGAAAACGTAAATATGGATCTTTTATCAACAAAACATACCTGCCAAAATTATAATTATCTTCTATTTCAGTAAGACACCTAAATCATATGATATCACAAATAATCAAATAGTTAACAGCATCAACATCACTCCAAATTTTGCCTCAATTTATTTACTTTTTACTTGTGTTGTATGAATATTTAAATGTCAAAGTTATCAACTTATAGATCGCAGAAGCGCAGATTAATATTTAAGAGAGAGGAGAGGAGGGAGGATAAACATTTTCAACGAGAAATGACAAGGACAGTAAACGTTGAATTGAATTTGACGCCATCGAATTACGTCATCGTGTGACCTGTGACGTAAAGAACACGTTCCGTTGTAGCTTTAAATACAAATGTATGCAAAATACGCATTGGATAACGTGTGCTTTCAATGCAATCATTTATTTTTTATTACCAATGTTTTAACTGCTAAGTAAAAATTATCGTGCAAGTAACTGACTTTAATCTTATATTATAAAGTAAAAATACAGTAATATTCGAGCTGAATAATGGCTGTTTGTTTTGCCAATTTGTATCGTGTCTGTTTACAAAAAATTTAACACTAGCTATTTGGGTACGGATAGGGTAAACAGCATTCGCAAGGTGGCGTGGCGTTCCTCGTTCCAAGGGGTATCACTGACAACATTAAAGAAATATCCTGTAGCCCATCAAATAGTGTATCTAGTGGATGGCTGAGAGATACTGCCTTAATGTTGTGCAAGTGTACGCACCGCTTCTGGTACACTCAGATGATGAAGTAGATCATATTAAGTACGATCGCATATTATGCTTCGTTTTTCACAACAAAACGAAGACGCACTTCAACGTTGTCATGGGACACTTTAACGCAAAGATGGTTGTACAAAACGCTTGTGAATCCATAATTGCTCCAAATGGTTATGAGAGCAAGCAAGTTGAGGATTCCGGACAATGACAACCTCAGTGCAGACGGTATCAGGGCATAGTCCACCACGCGACCCCACTGCGGATTGGCGGACTTCATAATATATTTTATAAATGTTTGATGTGCGTTGTGAAGCCATTTTTAAATACGGTGTTATATATTTTTCATGATCATAAACACCTGGAAACTTTGACAGCATTCTATCGTTTTTATGCAAAGCGCTCGGTATTTGCTGATAGATTATGAATTTTTAAACTTGCGCTTACAATAAAAACTACAATAAGTCTCTACTGTTAACATTTCATCTAATGGGCTAATTTAAATTGAATTATATAACACTACTGAACTATAGTACTAAATATCAGCAACAGTGTTTGATTGGAGAATACTTTGCAGCGTTCTTTGTTTACTTTATGCAGTGGTATCAAAAAGAAAAAAAATCAAGGATAACAACGCTTCTTCTTTCCGCTCTTTGGTGACCGTCGAAACCACAGACCACGTCGGCCGCTGGGGGCTGGTATGATTGCTGCTTGTTTGCAGTGGTTCTCTCGGCTCCCGTAGCCTTGTGGCAGTGAGCTTCTCGAAGGCCTCGAGGCAACAAAGGAGTGGAGGCCCCATGGCCTCAAATTATTTTCCAAATAAAATGAAAAATTTTTTTCAGTGGAGTTTTCCAATAAATAATTTATTGTGAAACTAAGTGAACAAATATAGCTCGATGATTTGTTTGTACAAAGTACTGTAGGTAAAGGTAAAATGCGAAAAAAATATGAAAGAAAAAGTGTTTACTAGTCTGAATTAGAAATCTTTTATCCGGTTTCTATTGTGGGAAGGTGTTTTCAGCGCGTGCTACCTGGCGGTCAGAGGGTTGCTCCCCGAGGAGGAGCTGTTAAGGCAGCCAGCGCTAACAAAGTTTCAGAAGCATGCGAAAGCGGTCCCGTGATAATGCCAGTATGGGCCTAGGTGGAACATCGTGGGGGTTTTAGTCGGTGCTAGTACGACATAGGCCGCCCTGCCGCCGCGATCGTTTCCCCCGCGTAAATAAAAGATTAAAGAAATGTGAACTATTTTTTGACGTCTAAATAACGACGATAAGGATTTGCGGAGTATATTTCGGGTCAACTGCCGTGGGCAGTGTGCGATGGCTCGTAATCATCCAGTTGAGCATCCCACGAGCTTTGACAGTATCCGACAGTAATACGATCTTTAACTTTAAGTTAAAGGCGTCTAAGTTGGGCTTTTCAGGCCGCTACCGGCCCGTTTATGCGTACTTTTCCCTAATCAGATGCCGTTCCTCAACGGTTACGGATGGAAAGAGCTCACCGACGTTCTGGCCCAGTTTATACATATAGGTACTTGGTCTTGTTAATTTCATTAAATTTTCGACTGAATGTCTTGAAAATAAGCGGTAATAAAGTTTGGTAAAAAACATATTGTGTAAAATTTTGATAAAATAATAATCACAAAATTGTTATTATTGTAGTTTACTTTGCACTCGGATAATATAGTTAAAAGAAAAGGTAGTAAAAATAACACATTCTTGACCGTTAATTTACCTTCTTAAAAGAGTAAAAATTTAATTCGTTCGCATGAAGGTTTTAACTGTCCCAAAAATAACAAAAACTAAACGTCGGCAATCTTGTATTAAAAAATCACCCAAACGCCTCACGATCACATTTTCTCGATTTTCCCGCCATTTCATCCAGCGATTGCGCGTCATCTCTTTTGGGGACTCCACGTCCAGTAACGGACTGCTTCGGTCGTCAATCATTTCTCTATGCGTGACAAATCCAAACTCAAACTGCCGGATCCGATGTGTCAACTGCTTTGTAGATTCGTGCCGAGTGTTGAAACCTCTTTTCATCGTCCTCGTACATTATCTGTTTATGTCTGCTGTGGACGATGACAATGCAGTAAACGGAAACGCCTGAAAAGAATCACAAATAAATATGTTATAATGAATTAGTTATACTACGTTGATGTTTTTTGACAAGTTGTGACGCGGCGTAAAGTGTTATTTCATTGACGGACCTTGTCAATAATGAAATATATTCAACCCAGTCGGTAAAGCCTGGCCAGTGAATTAAAACCCTCACCATGTTGACAATAATAAGGGATCTATCTCATTTCTTCTACCAGAAGTGAATAGAATAGGTTTATTTATGACAATATATAATAATCACTAGGGTCAACCAAATTTCAAGTAACCATTAATTTAATTAAATTTGGGCTAGTGCTCAGTTATATGGATGTTCTTCCTTAAATCGACCACGTACACAGTCATATTCAAGTTATTCGATATAATAAGTGTGAGATTGCGCTTATAGAATCACTAATCTTTCCCATCTTAAATTCATGTGTTCGTGTTTCATCTTGTGACACTCACAAGCCCTGGTCAGGTGAACGAAGATGACGACTGCCTCGACGCCCAGCGTCTCGCCGGAGTCCTGCAGGATGAGACTGATGCCAGTGAGGCACATCACGAAGAATATCGCAGTGAGGATGCCCGTGATTATCGTCCAGGGCAACGTCAGTGACGCCAGCTTCTGCAATAACCCGCACAGAATAAGCCACATTAATAACTTATTTTCATGCAATGATGTTTTAATGAAGATGACGCATGTCCATACTGCGCGGCGTTTAAAAAATGCTTCGCTTTACATTATTAATGACATACAATGATAGTATATACCATTACTAGCGACCTGCCTGTATTATACATATAAACTTTCCCCTTGAATCACTCTATCTAGTAAAGAAAACCGCATCAAGATCCGTTGCGTCGTTTTAAAGATCTAAGCATACATAGGAACAGACTGACAGCGGGACTACTATGTAGTGAAGAGGTAGATATGACACTGGCGCACCGAAACTGAGCCACTCAAATTACGCCAATTGGTGTAATTCGATTACAATTATATAGCCTGCTATCTCGGTCCGTATCATAGATTCTACATTATCAGTCACATTCAGTTTTATATGTCATATGATGTACAACGGAACAATTATTAAACGCCGTGCAGTATGTACATGCGTGATCTATATTATTAAACATCATATAAAAGTGCATATCATGTTGCAGATGATATAGGTACGATACGGAAAGAGATAGCTGTCTATTGCGTTGCATTTGGCGTACTCTATCCATAGATAGAATCGGACCGAACAGAAGAGAAATTACACCAATTGTCATAAATTGAATGCCGCAGTTTCGGGACACTAGTGAAATATCTACCTCTTATTTGTATATCATTAATTTTCATGTAGCTTATGTTAGAATAAAATACGTTTACAAAGACTATTAATATCTTTGTTCAGAATTCAATTTGGACAACTGCACGAACGGGAGATTTATATGATACGATGCAATTATAATACTGGCCCACGCAGCCACCACTTTGTTCTCCCCCATACTTGTGAATTGTATACTGCCCTGACTTGGATGAACATTTGATATACATGAACACAAGTTTTGCGTGTAATATAACATACGTGTATTTCCTATAAAATATTGGTCATCATTATTCATGGTAGTAAATGTTTCGTTCTCAAAAATTATTTTTTCATGCCAATCGGCAGCGGAAATCAATATTATCAGGTAATCGTTGCTTTTCCACGTTCTTTCATAAAAAATGCACACAAAATTCGAAATCATAGCATCGATAGGGTTATCGCTACGAACCTTATAGGCGGCTACGATTAACAGGAGGGAGCACAACAAGTGGACTCCGCTGACCACGGCGGCCGTGACGTACAACACGTATTTGTGCATGGAGATGTTGCCGTCCTTACCCAGGGGTGCTAACGTCACCAGCAGACAGTACGCCGTCAGCTCGAGGAGCGCCCATACCTTGAGATGAGGAAGTTTTGTTACACATTACGAACCTTAAAGGTCATTGTCCGGGCGCTCGCTTGTAATTCCATATACTCAAGCAACCTCAGTTCGATCCCCGGTGCTGGCGCCAATGAAATTGTTAATTTTAATTGCTGAATTATCACTTGCTCAGTGGTGAAGGAAAACACCGTGAGGGACCTGCATGTTTTCGAAATAATAACAAAAAAATATTTCGACGATATGTGAAGTCCGCCAATCCGCAGTTGGGCCGCGTGGTGGACTCTGCCATACAGAGGCGCCTGTGCCCAGCTGTGGGACATTTATAGGCTGTTACTTTACTTTTTACAGATGCAGTAGAAGTGAAAATGAATAGAGACCAACAAAGCCTCCGAATTCGTTTTAGCTGGCATAACAAGTAGTGACGGGTGGCCGTAAAAAATACGCTAAACCAGGGGTGAGCAACCTTTTTTATCATTGGGCCAATTTAAATTTAAATTTTTTTGGGCGGGCCGCACATAATAATTTACGCACATATAAATATTAGAATAAAAAAATATAAAATTAAAAAAAGTAAAGATTTCATATACAAATTTTAATGCAAGGTAAAAACAAACAAAAAAAGAACAGAAAAACGAACAAAAAATATTACGGTTCTGTATATACTACCATTTTATTATAATTAATATTATAACAATATATTGATGGGAGAAATTCGATAAAATAAATGAAATTTAAGAAATGCTTGGCGGGCCGCATAAACATGTTTAAGGGGCCGCAAGCGGCCCGCGGGCCGCGCGTTGCTCATCCTTGCGCTAAACCAACAATCTACGTATGTCCATCGCGGCTTCCTAATTGGTAAGTAAACACGGAACATTCGACGATTTACTTTAGCCTTCAATGTATTAAAACATTACCTGCGTATTTCATGAATCAAGTGTCGATGCAGACGAAATGTTATTGACGAAATTGTCTATTGAAGACGAAAGTCCTGGCTCCTTTTCTGTTTAAGTTTATGCTGAGGTTTCTAGTCAGCGCGGTATCCGGCATTTTGCATAATAATGGAATGTACTCGAGTAACCTTAACTCAAATAGCGTTTGTTAATCTACAAAATGTTCAGGGATGAAGTCAAACGTTCTGAGAAGACCTATATATCTAACAAATTAGAAAGGGTATTTATGAGATATATAAAATCTGCCGATCTGCAATGGAGCCGCCAGGTGTACTATGCCGTGATATCTTTTATCTTGCGTAAAGAGGGATTCTACTACATTTGCCTAATAGTTATACCATTATATGTATAGTATAGTATTTATATCTATAGCATATATATGTATAGTATTTATTAGTCCATCCATCCATAAAGGAGGTACAGGCTAGGCGCCTTACCTTAAGCCCAAGTGGACGGTCCAACCAAAAACAATCCATCGCATTGAGGAAAGAACATTTCCCAATAAAATATTCAGCCAGATCTTTCGATATCGCTGTAAAAGTACGTACATTCATATGTTAAGTTATCTTAATGTGATTACAGTGAAATCTTTGTCCTCAGATTAAATGGAACAAAGCCAAGGGCGTGACGTCATCCGAGATAGGTCGTGTAAACACCATGAGTAAAGTTTATACACGCTTCAATTACAGACTAAATAAACCACTGCCTTGAAACGAACTGATAACATAAGAGTTCTTTTAAAATGACGAGTGGAAGAAAGTTATCTTTGAAAGATATTTTTACATAACTAAATTAAGGTGTTCCTAATGACACCTATTCTAATGGAAATCGTAATATGGGGCACGAAGATTTTACGATTTGTTGGAGGTGTTTGTCTCATATTTATTAGTAATTTCAATCTTTAAATAAATTTATAATTACAAATATTTGTATTTCATAATGAAAACGTACGATCATTCTAGATAAGCGAAATATTTCTATTCAAAGTACAACAAGTGCATTATTAAACACAAACTTATTGCCCAAGATAATTTATGATAACATTAAAAAATATATTAATAAATATATTTTATCTTCATAGCAGTAATAACTAAATAAAGATTGTTACGATAGCGAGTTTTGGCATGCATACGTGACCAAAAATAATCCCTAATTATTTGAAGATTTTGTTTAGATGTAGCACAAAATAGAAATGGATAAGTAATAATTACTAATTTCCACTTATTAATTTGCAATTTATTTATCGCTTTAGCTGTCTAATTTTACGGCCTTTATTAGAACTGTTCGATAACAGTTATATACATTACTCTAAAATAGAATATAATTATATTTCATTGTTGTCTACTCAATATTGTTTGTGTTAAGAAAGTTAGGTCTGTAATGTCTTGTTTAACATGTTTTACCTCTCGGTGCGTAAAACACACTCAAAATTTTATTAGTACCTTATAAAAAGATAAACAAATAAGGTTGAGCAAATACAATGATATTTTTCCCCAGCACAGTAAGATAATAAGATATACGTCAACACCACTCACTGTATACAAATACGCGATGATCAGTGTTCCTGTGTGTAAATTGACGCAATAGCAACACTTCTTCACCATCGGAACTCCCATTTTGATCTGAACGGTACTACTCACTCTACGCAATAAACTAAATTAGAGAATAACAGCGGACCCAGCAAGTGCCTTGCGGAAGCCGGCGACGTAGTTGCGACGTAGCGTACGTCTCCATACTGAGGTGTTAGAAACTTGATTGGACGTTATCACAACATTTTCCATTAAGATAAACTACTGTCGCGTGCTGTATGCTTGTTGAAAAATGTGGAAAAAGAATATTATTATTTTCCGTTTATCTATTTAAGTGGTGTAAAGAATTGTGGTGTAAAGAATACTACATCGATAATGACCATAAAGAAATCTGTGTATGTAATAAAAATGTACATAGTGAAGTTATACTTCATTTTATAATTCGTTCAAGTATGTGTGGTTAAGGTATACATACTTGAATGCATTTTAAAAGGAATAAAGAATTTACTTATTAAAAACACTAGAGTATATGTTCATAACTATAATTAAAACCAAACCTAGAAAGATATTCTTCTTGTTTTTTTTTAAATTGAAATTTGAACTTTAATGTTATGACCCACGTGTAAACTAAAACGGGCATATATTTCGACATTGATACAATTTCTACGTTGACAGCGTATTTGATTTTAACGGTTGAAAGGTAAGGTTCATACTTCAGTATTGTCTGGTGTACGTAAAATATTCAAGTATGCTGTCTATGACATAATGAGATAATGGACAAAGCCTCTCTCCCAGTCAACCCGGGGCGTGGAGATAAATAATTGTGATAAATGCAATAATACATACATTCTAGCTTATGGCTCCTTCAAGTATGACATATACATATCATTAGGCAAGAAGTTCCAAAGTAGTGTAACCTGAACTTTAGGTGTCAGTGTTAAATAAACTCCTAGTATTCACAAGCCCATATTTTAAGTACGGATACCTCAGTCATTTTTGATATTAACTTTCCAAGGATCTTGCTTTCGACGAGGTACCATAGATTACATAGCATCTGCATGGATTTTTTCATGATTATTTGTCGATCAAAAAGGGTATTAGTAACACCGAAGATTTGTATATCTAGTTATACCTATGGTTCCAAGGCTAATAAACAATTAAAATGGAAGCAATCACAGCTTATACGGCAAACTAAGTGGTCTAATCTACACAAGTGTCGCTTGTTATTATTTGCCTTGTCAGGATTTTGCAAATCCGAAGCCTCTACTTTAGAAAATCGAGAATTTATCATAGTGATCTTTTTAACTATTATTACTAATAATAATAATTTAAATGATTATTTAAATTTTAAATAATATTTTATCTGACTAGATTAAATGTTACGTACTCAGCAATAGCCTCATTTTGATAAGCCAATGCCTCGCTGTATACCTGACAGATTCGTGGGATAGGAACAAGTGGTCCGAGCGCATAAAAAGTCATCAAGATTTGAGTCATTTGGGGACATAGGATTGTTAGTGTTAAGATATTATGATGCATAACTTCAGCCATAACGGGACATTGCCAGTTGTCAATATTAGATAATGGTAAACAGGTTAATGGCACCTACATTTAAGTACTTAGAAGGAAAGTGAAAAGAATTTGATATTTCTTATTACCTAAATTCGAACTATCCAATTCTTCTCAATTTTATCGTTTTTTTTTACTTAAGAGAAAAGTAAGCAGTGTAGAAATATCTATCTGCTTATAACCAAATCCCATAGATAAGGAAACCCTGTATGTTGGACCGTCCAAATAATTGTCAGATCTTACTTAATCCTTTCTATTACAGTTTATTCTCACCCGAGTAACAACGAACATACCATGGTAATAATTTTATGTTCACGATAGCGATTTAAAGATAAGTTACTATGAAATTGGAAATCGTTATCAAAAATATCTCCCTATATCAAACCCGTTATATTACAACTGTTGAATTTTGAATAACTACCATAAATACATTATCGAATGAGTAAATTCAGTGATGATATGACATCATAACAAATAAGTATAATAACTAATAATAGCTAAACACTATTGCATCGATAAGCATTCAAGTAGTTAACACACGGCATGTATTGCAGTGCCTGCTTAATTTTCTCTTATTCATTAATTCTTATTACTTACTTGCTTTTAATTCAATATACTCAGCAATCTGAAGTCAATCCCCGTTGCCGGCAGCTATGAAATTGTCGACTTTAAGTGCTGACTTATCATGTGCTGAGCGGTGAAGGAAAACATCGTGAAACCTGCATATTTTCAAAACGCTAACAAAAAAAATATTTTGAAGATATGTGAAGTTCGCCAATCCGCATTGGGGTCGCGTTGTGGACTGTGCTCTAATTACCTCCCTACAAAGGAGGACTTTTCCCAGGGGTGAGACATATGTAGGCAATTCAACTCAAATTCAAATACCTCATTCAATATAGTAGTCTTACAATTAATTATTGATCGTCAAAAACCACTGCTACTGCGGCTATAGGCAACACCCGTAGGGTTGCAGATACGTTGCCACCTATTAATAAAGCGGCCCCGGCTACCACCAGACGACGCAGAAGTGTGACACTTCTACTTAACGCCCCCTTCTGTGAGGTCGTGGTACTTGATGAAAGGAAAGAATATGGAAATATTTTGGACACGAGTCATGATCTCCCCCACAACTCAACATGAGATGGACGATAACGGATGGCACAGTTGACAATAATCGATGATTTATTAATTTAGTCCACATTCCTTAGACACCTCATCGCCGTTTTAGTGCGTTACGTTATCACTTATCTTTTCCAAATGGAATTTATATTACTATCGAGTACTGAGAATTATCACAGTGATTATAAGTTTGTAGCGCCGACCACGCACAATCATGTAGCTTGGTTAGAATCGTCGTTAGTGCAAAACTAAGAAGCATTCATCTATATTTACTGAACATCACGTTTTCGTTATATTTTAATTTAACTTTTGTAAGCGTATACTAATATAAAGTGTACGATTAGTTATTGGTCATTCGAAATGTGTTTGTCAGTGGAAGTTTGCTGTTTCTGCGTGACTCTGGAGGCGGGAAGTAAAATTGTGGCCGTAGTGAATTTGGTAAGTGAAAAATAAATTGAAATGACCATACCATAGTCTAAACAATATAAACGGAGTTGTTACGCTGTAAACGATATACGTATTATATGCCGAAAGCTTTCATAATTCTGTTACAAACTACTAACTACAAAATGTAAGTGGTAAACTAGCCCTTGAAAATCCAAATCCTAATCAGCGTAAAGCTTTAAAAGACTCACCACACAAAACGCAAAGACTACTTCTGTCACCCGCGTGAGGACCCTTCCCTTTATGAGTCGACAAATTACTGAAACAACAGAAGCTTTTGCGTACCTCAACAACGTTGGGAGGAATACGTGGACATAAAAGTGTAACATTTGTGCTCACAAGTTTACAAATAATACTGTAAATTCGAAAGTCTAATTCATTTGACATTTTAGTAGATTACGTATACTTTAAATACGTTGAATAAGAAATACGAAATTGACTCTGAACGATCTCTCTTTTGGCGGCATTCTTTTCACATATTCCCATGCAATGATTCGTGTATTAGATTGCGTCACGTACGTATTTTATGTAATAATTATTTTAGGATGCATGAATATTAATTCACAACAGTAGATCGACAAATTATGGAGTTAATATGGTACATGTGTATATTGAAAACGCTTGTAGTACAGAATCTTTATCCAAAATAAGAGTCCTTCTACTCCACTTCATTTAATTTACTCCCTAATAGCGTAAATAATTCTGAACAATTTTATAATTCAAACAATTTTATAATTCAAACAATTTTATAATTCAAACTATTTTTTTTATGTGGTAAAGGAAGCAAGCGAGCCTTCGGTTCGCTTGATGTTACGTGGTAGCTGTCGCTAGATGAGAGCCCTAGTTAACTCACTCAACTTTTCAAAGTTACCAGTTTAACACTTCAACTTCTCGTAGGTCTTCTATGAGCCCGCGGTACTTCCCCGGACACGCTAGTTTCAATAGGGATGATTCGAACTGTTTGGTTTGTATCGACTTAACGGCTTCCAGGTTTTGGCAGCGTTGATATCGCTGACGTACGGGTCCACAGCCGCCACCCTCAGTTACCTGCCGTCCTCCCGACGTATCTTCTATGGGCTCGTTTGCGCCGCTGCAGTCGGCCAGCTACTCCTCGGCAGCACCATGACCTACGGAGCATTTAGGGTAACTCGAAGATACAGGAACCATACAAACCTCCCTTCAGCCACATAGGACCATATCGATTTACACTAAGTGATGAAAGGAAGACGTGTATGTACAACAATTAATACAATATTATAAATATCTGGAACTTTCTGAACCGACTTCAAAAAAGGAGGAGGCTCTCAATTTATGTTTGTAACCTCAGAACTTTCGGCTGAGTGATCCGATTCTGATGTTTCTTATTTTATTTATGTATTATATTTTTCTTTTTTATTGGTAATGGATCTTGGGCTCCGGAGATACAGTCATTGAGAGCCTCATGCTTTTTTGAAGTCGGCTGAAAATGGTCTTGTTCCAGATAACAACGATACTAAGGTGTGATTGCATTTCAGTTAGGCCAGCCCGATTAAAATCTAAAGTTAATTTAATTTTAACCGGCAATATATTAGCGGCCTACCCCGGATTCTTACGGGCGCGTTAATTAATTTAAAAAATTCTGTTGATCCAATCGATCAAATGTACCAAACTTGGCAGGGCCACCTGGGCCAATCTGAAGATTGTCTGAGTCTGCCACTTTGGAGTCCATGTGGAACATACATTCACTCTTTGATTTTTGTATATATGTATAATATAAATAGGTGTAATAGATCAAGGTTTAAAATAATTGTATATTGATACTGAGTTTTAGTTCCTTGAATCATGATTATTAGCCAATATGATGATAATTTTACTCAATTCTTTGAGATTTATGGAATAAGTTTCAACACCGTCGATAATGATTTATATATACTTAGCAATTATTATTTTTTAGTTCTTTAACTTAATTAATCATAGCAAAACATCTGTTAAGGATAGCAAACCATCCATGAAGAAGTTGGTTAGGTCCGCCATAATATGAAATTTACAACTCCATTAAAATAAATTAAATTTATTTAAAATAAATTTAATAAATTAAATTTTCACTTCTAGACTTCATGGACTTTCAATTTAGACTGATGACCGTACTATACAAATAAATGAATACATTTTGTAGTTGTTATAACATTTAACAATTGCTAGAACACCCTAAAACTGTATGAAATAAATGTATTTTTTTTTCTATTTATTTCATACAATTTTCAATATTTTGTTGTTCGATTTATTTATACATTATACACATGTTTCATGATATACAGGTCTGTACTACATTCTAATTTTAATCGCCTACGAGTTTTAAAATGCAATTCCATAATATAAAGGATTTTCCTTCCTCGAGCAAACCGAAAATCGTTTATTTACGCTTTATTTTCATTCAAACGAATACATTATTTAATCACACTGTTCCTTTAAAAAAATACACGCCTTGCTTAAGTACTTTTGCGCAAGTGTGGCACTTGCGCAAAAGTACTTAAAAGACTCAAGCACGTCACAACAAGTGTTCCTTTTCTTAATGTAGTAATAGTGTAATAATCATACAGGGCTTACTAAATTTTTTTTTATGTGAAAAAGTGGCAAACTTGCTGGCGGTTCACCTGATGTTAAGTAATAACCGCCACCCATGGACATTAGTAACACCCGTAGGGTTGCAAATGCGTTGCCACCTTATTTAAGGTGGGCCCCGGCTAGCTCACTCACCAGACGAAACGCCGATGTACACGATGTAACACTTCCAGTTTACGCCGGTCTTCTGTGACGTCGTACCCGGACCTGCCCATTCGTGCAACAGTCAAAACTGTTGCGTGGTCGTACCACAGTTAACTTTTTGGTTATTCAGAGATTGTTAATTTGCTTCTGTAGTATCTAACACGTTCCACCCTCGATGTTTTTCAGAGAAAGCCGAGGCTCCTCTGGATTTGGGTGCGTGTGGCGTGGCTGTCGAGCCTTGTTTTCGTGGCGATGGCGATCTTGGGCTCTGTGGTTTTGACCATGGACACGAGCACCGCCGACTCATCGGAAGTCAGCACTATGGCGTCCGCTTATTTAATATACGGAGGTAACGAATTGCATAGTTGTATTTGCGTTATTTTGTATCCAATTTTATATGCACATCCTCCATGGGAATAAAAAACGCTCAGCAGGCCTACGCACTCTATCCTTTAAATATTTTTATTATCTTCTACATTCACCATGGCGAATGAAGAGGTTTACTTTATTCGTAAATTTTTCAGTCCGATTGTAAAATAAGTGTACATAACGAAAGTGTATAGACGTATATTGAACTAGAACATTTACGATTATATAATTAATAGCACTACTTTATTTATAATTTACCGCTTAAAGCTTCTTCGTGTGATAGTCCACGCATAGACTAGACATTGTTGCAATATAAAGTTCGTACGGAAGTTTACTGAATTCTTCTCTTCCAGCGGGTTTGTATTATTCTGCGTCGGTGGTGAACAGCAGAAGGTTGGAGATAGTCCGGGAAGATCAAAATGAGGCGGCCTCACGATTGATGAGGCAGCAGAACACTCCCAAGAGTCTCCTTGCGTTTGAAGATATCGTTTAAGTGATTACAGTAGGTCACGCGAAGAATAATTAAGACAAGTCTGAAAGGATTCATGAAAATCTCAATCCCTAGTTTTATAACTTAAAAAAATGCTATCAGAAAACGGTTTGTTTCATTTATTACCATTTATTAGCTACATTGATAAAGTAATCGATGAGCCAGATATAAGTCGCACTATTTCACAAATAGATTATTTACAAATAGATTATTATCAGTTATTATATGCTTATTAAGTATCGCAGTTGTGCCCCAAATTCTACGAAAATAACATTGCAATACACAAGTATGTTCAAAACTTAATGTTTTAATTCCAAATTAACCATAATTATACGTTTTATATTGATGAGTACATATAATTTATTTGCCTAGCCGAGAAACGGTTGCTTTCTTCACAATAACCCAGGTGAATTAATATTTTTCACGTCCGGAACATCATTGTCCTTTTCTATGGATTCCCTTAAGATTTTTTCCCCTAAGCTCTATGAACGTTGGTACTTAAAATTGGCGATATTTCAATTTCATTTTTACGATCTGGCTATTCCCCGAATATCACAGCAAATGGCATACATTTAAATCCTTTCCTTGAGGCAAAGTTTTACATGAAATTTTAAGCAACTCAGTGGACAACTGCGAAGCTGCTTACATCGATTCTTTGTGTCGTAGGTTCGATACCAACCCGGGACAAATATTTTATGACAGTTCTTCTAGATCTGGGTGTTAATCCTTGTGCGATTCTTATTTATAAAAGCCGTATACAACAAATGACAATAATTGAGTAAAAGAGAGTGATGGCAAAATCGTTCGTAAATGAAAAAGACAACGGGAAAGCAATTAGACGCAGACAGAGAAGAGAAACAATGCGTCGCACATCACGAGCAGGTGCCGAGCGGAAAATTGGTCATTTAACTAGGGATGTACACCAAAACACGAGAATAATATCGATATTTGAAAATTTTACTAAAAAAAAATAATGCCCATTTCACTTGAAACATATTGCAACCAACAACATTGTAAATGTAAAATATTGTGTAAATGGATGGATTTCAACATAGCTTCGAATGAGGTGAAAAAAAAACTCCAAATATATTATCTTATTTTATTTCTTACCTTTTTAAAAACATTGCCTTTACTTTAACATAACATTATTCTGTGTTGTCGTTATAACTACGTTTTACAAACATAAATTTCACGCGGACAAACAACCAGATGCGAAACAACCATCTGTGGGTCACAAAAATAGTTGCCTCGCGTGGGAATCGAACCCACGACGTCGAAGGCAACTGCGCCACCGAGTCATGTTATTGCTGAAATTTCTTTAACGAAACACTTTCGAACATTTTCGATCTGATTATGGTGAATATAAAATCTGCTCTTGAAAGCAAAAGAAAGGTATGTGAAAAGGTGGTGAAAAATTAATGAAAAAATTTATTGTTATTTTTGAAATAATAATTTTGATTATTAAAGTTAAGTTAGGAAAACAACTTATAAGAATTTTCTCTTTGTAATATATATAGATGTTATCTCTCCGAAACTCTTTACCAATGCAATGGAAGACGCCTTCAAGCTCCTGGATTGGAAAGGATGTGGCATCAATATCAACGGTGAATACAACACTCACCTTCGGTTTGCCGATGACATCGTAGTCATGGCAAAGTCTTTGGTGGAGCTCAGCACAATGCTCGAAGACCTCAATAGAGTATCCCAACGGGTGGGCCTGAAAATGAACATGGAAAAGACCAAAGTCATGTCAAATGTCCATGTGACGCCCACCCCCGTATTGTTGGGAGGCTCGCCACTCGAAGTTGTTGATAGCTATGTCTATATGGGACAAATGGTCCAACAAGGCAAATCCAACTTCGAGAAGGAGGTCAATCGACGAATCCAGCTCGGCTGGGCTGCGTTCGGGAAATTGCGCAGCGTCTTTACGTCCAAAATACCACAGTCCTTAAAGACGAAAGTCTTTAACCAGTGCGTGCTACCAGCGATGACCTACGGTGCCGAGACGTGGTCTCTCACTATGGGCCTCATAAGGAAGCTCGCGGTCGCACAGCGCGCTATGGAAAGGGTAATGCTTGGGGTTTCTCTACGAGATCGAATCAGAAATGAGGAGATCCGTAGAAGAACTAGAGTTACCGACATAGCAGAGCGAGTCAGCAGGCTGAAGTGGCAGTGGGCAGGGCACATAGCTCGAAGAACCGATGGCCGTTGGGGCAAAAAGGTTCTCGAGTGGAGACCACGTGACGGCAAACGCAGCGTAGGAAGGCCTCCCACAAGGTGGACGGACGACCTAGCCAAGATCGCAGGGACGCGTTGGATGCAGGCCGCTAACGACCGGTCGAAGTGGAAGTCAATGGGGGAGGCCTATGTTCAGCAGTGGACGTCCTACGGCTGATATGATGATGATGATGATGAATATATCTTGTAATTAACACGAGTATTGAGAGTAGCCGCATTATGTCGTCTTTGACGGAAGAAAACATCGAAAAAGCGTATAACCTAATCTCCAGACTGGTAGTCTGTCTGATTTTGATAGACTGTCCAGGATATTACTGATACCAAATGCATGTCGAACTAACGAACGTAAAACATTACAGTCAATCAACTAGGACTTTTAGGGTTTCCACCCGGTGGGTCTCCAGACTGCTTTTCGTCTCTAGATGCTTGAGATTAATCTGCAACTGATTTATCTAACGAGATGAAAACCAGTTTCATCATTATAACTCAGAATCAAAACTACTGTTTGTAAAATCTGATTAACTGACCCCAATGAAAGAGAAGGCAATTTCCGCACCGGCTACCTCATTCACAAGGCGAAACGGGAAAGTATTATACATCCACTTTACGCTGGTCTTCTGTGAGGTCGTGGTACTTACCCGGACGAGCCTGCCCATTTGTGCAACAGCCGAGGCTGCTGCGCGAGCCTACCACGGCTATCGTTTTGGACTTAAAACACGTTTTGAAAATGAGCAAGTAATGTTTCTAATATTTTATATAATATGTAATATGTTATCGAATCGCATTAATTTCGAAGAGAACAAGGAACTTATATTTACAATTTGAAACTGAGAATTAAAATTAAAGGAAAGAGCACTGTCGCGGAAGCCTTGGAAAGCAGGTGGGAGAAATCTCCAGTACACTGGAGATGTAGATTTATGTCTAAAAGTAAAAATAGTTGTATTCATATCATATTTTATTATCGTTACTATAGGCTGCGATCTTTATACACCACCCACGTGTCATAAAGAGCTTCGTATAACTTGTTATAAATTAAAAACTTTGGGCAAAAACACACAATCGTTCCCAGATCCGTACCATATTTTTCAACAGGTCGAACATACAATCGTCAGTAATAAAAAGCTTTCACGGTTAAAGGAAACGGAAACCATTATCAAAATGAATTTCGCCGTCGAAAAAAGCCGAGTCCAACTTACGTAATGCGATTGTTACGTAAAAAAATTATAATTCTTATACACGCAGGAAGGTAATATTTACCATTAAAGTTTATTGGGTAATTTTGTTATACAATCCGATCAATAAATTAAATAATAGTCATTGAAGACTGCAGCCGCCTGTTTCTTAAAGTTGCATTCACTTTTTCTGCATACAGTTTATATGAACATCAAGCACTCATTTCCCGGCGAATGCTGCACATTATTTTTTATGTGAGAAAAAAATACAATTCAATACAAATTGGTTTTAAATTTACAATAGGTACGGGAGTAGGGCCACGAAACAGTTGCTCGCTTTTGCAGAAATAGGCAGGTCCGTCCGGGTAAATACCACAGAAGACCAGCGTAAAGTGAAATTGTTATACTTCTGCATTTCGTGTGGTGAGTTAGGTAGCCGGGGCCTACTTTATTATAAGGTGGCAACGGAGCTGCAACCCTACGGATGTTGCAAATGTCCATGGGTGGCGGTTATCACTTGATATCAGTTGAGCCAAATCAAAAATCGTATTAAAACAATCTAACGGTCAAACATTTCTTAATAAGATACCCATAGAGGAACAAATTTAATGTTAGTAAAGCGATAATTAATGATTCTGTGTGCGACCGTAAGTGTGTTTAAGCTGTCAGACCAATTTTTGAAGGTAAAAAATAAGCCGTTTAGTTGAGGTAGCCATAATGGGAGTTTTGTCAGCACATTAGCTTGTGATAACTTTAAAGTAGCTACGTTTTATATTTCTTTTGCTTATACTTAATTACAAAAACAATTTAAAAATTAAAAAAGGTATTGGCAATAAATAATGATTTTAAATTATTATGATTGTAACTACTTTTGGACCAGGTGAATTTATGTCACGTGCGTGGATAGAACCCACAACAGCGCAAAAGGTCAGTTTTACCAATTTAAACTGTTGCGCTATCCGTGCAGTACGTAACCATTATAACCAGCAATTAATTGATACATTAACGTTTTCAAGGATTTTATCGAGTTCACTTTTGGTATCAAGGATTTTCGATCACTTCACAGAGGCAATTGTCACGCGAAAGTCTGGGATGTTTTACGCGCTCAATCCTAATGTCCTGGTCTCTGTAGCCCGTATAGAACAGGATATCAGAAACACCAACTACTTCTAAAACAGATATTGATCGCGATAAACGGTGTACAATCAATACAAGAAGTTATTGCAATTAATTTCAATACTAAGTTTATGTTATTCAACTTTTAAATGAAACTATTTGTAGGTATTTATCGCACTGTTTTTAGATTCAAAACGTTCTTAATTCTTTGCAGCATTCACGGTCACGTGACAGTGACGTTAGTCGTCATTGTTAAAGCGGGCTACCGTCAATTTTTATTAATTTTGTGTCCAATCCATAAATTAATAGAAGACCGAATAACTACTACTATTTAAACCTGAGGCAACACTAGAATGATGTTTGCAAAAATAGGCTATTTTATCGATACCGCGAACGCGGATTCATGTCGCATCCCTATAATTTTCACCTAAAACCGAACAATGGTGAACGTGTCGCGACGAGTGTGGTTGTAAATATTATAAATATAAGTCAAAGTATAGCAACTTACTATTCTTGCCAGACATGTCAATAACTAAGCAGATTGCGGTAAGTAGTTTTTTTTTAATCACAATTAACAAAGAAAATATCGTCACATAACATTGTATATAATTAAAAACATTACTCGTATATTTACATGCAAAAATTTACTAGATTTGTAACTATCAATCAATGACAGACACATACAAACAGTTCAAATTATTTAGAGGTTATTCAAATACTTGTCCTAAGGAAATCGAATCCAAGACCTATTTAGTACAGCCTACAGCCAATCTCCGCGCCGAAAAGCAAAATACATATTAAAGTTTATACTAATTTTATAAGGATAGATTGTGAATTTTGTGAGAAGGCCGAAGGCCTCTAGCAGGTATTCCCGTGATTACCCACCACAAAAGTTCCATACAAACTTACAAAACCATAGCATCTATTTGAGAAATTTTTTCACCGTTTGATGTGCCTTACATTAGGCAAGTAAGTAAGAAAAAGTCAATTGTTTACTTAAATACCTAATAGCATGAATACAATTTGTTTTGTTGATTAAATTATTTAATTGAAAAATGTTTTTAAAAGTTTTTTAGATGATATATAATAGATTTATTAAATAAACATTGTGTTTCTGAATCGAGTTTAAGAATTGACTGAAAATTGGATTGAATTGTGTTAACAAAATCAAACTTATACATAACAGTATGAAATAGTATGTTGTAGCTATTATGATTTCTTTGTTTGGCGGTGAAAATAATAAAACATTATAATTTCATGCATAATGTCACTCGAAGTCTGATATACACTTCGAGTGTATAATATTAGTAGTAACGCGTATTAGTAGTGAGCTCGAGAAAAGCCTTAGAAGTTTGATTCACGTTCAAGACCAACTAGATATATTAAAAAACAATAGTAAAATGATCACTTTGACAGTCTGAATAATACCTCAGCCCTAAACTAACGTAAGATTCGTAATTAAACAATACATAATCATACTCTGTTTAATAAAGACTTGTTTTAAATATCGTTTGCGTCGTAAAACAGACCTCTATTTTTTATGTCAAAAGCCGTCAAGCGAGCAGGCGGTCCACATGATGTTAAGTGGACACCGCCGCCCATTAACATCTACATACTAACTGGTGGTCTTGCAGATGACTTGACAACCTTTATAAAAGTGGGCCCTGGTTACCTCACACATCAAACGACAAGCGAAAGTATAATAATTTCCACTTCGCGCCGGTTTCCTGTGAGGCCATGATACTTCCCCAGCCTGCCCATCCGAGCATCAGTCAAAGCTATCTAAGAATTAAATAAAAAAGTAGTAAAAAATTATCGTCATCATCACATCAGTACAATCAAAATTATTTTAATTATGGCAAATCACATTTTGAACAAAAATAAAAGATTGTATTGTTTTTTTTTTTCACGAAAGAATTTTCAATGTATATAAATTAACAATATTTGCCACAAACTAAAAGGTGGTAAATAAATCAGTTTAAAATTAAGTGATAAATCGTTACTCTAATTGTTTTCCTTATACATTTTTTTTTCTATTTTTTCGCCAACCCTATCCAGCGAAAATCTCACAAATCATAAATGAATCACATAGAAAGATCAAAAAGATTCATTATTCATTCGTCACTATCACTTGTATGTCATGAGTTATAAAAGCATTAATTAAACCTTTATAACGACGATGAAGTCGTTTCCTGTGAGAAATTCGTTGTAATTAATTGTCTGTTAGTCAAATTCAATCTGCCATCGTTCAAAGTCATCGGTGCTATTGTAACTAATTGAGCAGCAATCACTGTAAGCGCCAAGTTCATAGATAACTACTACCGAGAAGCTGATTATTCATTATACTATCGCAATAGTGGATAGTGCGATGAAGCAGTATACTAAATGCATATATAAAATGATATTTAACCTAAAATTAACTTAACAAAATTTGTGACTAAGTTACAACTAGTTGACCTGTGCGACACGTATCACATTTATTTTTTGCATAGTACCGTGATCAGTCACCGAATGTTAAAGTAATAATGTGTAAATAAATATTTATTTTTCAAAAGCGTGGAGGCAAATTGAGATATTTTGAAGAACTGGGTCTACTTCGCTATGTTTTATTTAAACAAATTGTCAATAGATGGCACTATCATACATTCTTTATGAGAAATTTTTGAATGAAAGTTTTTTATTCGTTTTATTTTATTCGTACACTATATTTTTCATGATTAGCTCTTTCATCACTCTTCAAAGCTGAATACGATCCTTGATGCACAGCTTATTTCGAAAACGTATCAAATGACACCAATACTGAATTGTATAGCTACATTTTTATTTCATTCAATGAATGATTTAATAATATTTCATCTATATAGGAGTTAAAAATTTTATTACTTTAAAAAATAAATAATGATTTGATTAAAAGTAATTCGTGAAGTTTTAATAAATTATTGAGTTACTTATGGCAGATAGGTAGTAGAATCATTACCATCGAGGTGCTGAAATAAACCTTCGCCGACTGATTCTATTACTAACTAGGTTATATCAGTGACTTCATCTGCGATCCTTATTATATTAAAAACTAAAACGCTTGCCCCACTTGTCCAATTCAGGAAAACACATAATTGAACAAGTAGTGCTTATAAAAATCGTTGGTCCATAAAACTTTAATGATTTCATATGAAATAATCATTTTTTTAGGTATGTTCCGAGGATTTCGGGACAAAACTTAGAAAAATTTAATGAAATCTATATCCATATATAGCAAAAGTCATTCTCTTATTATGCAGCGGGTTGCATTTAGATGTTCCTCTGTATATGGATTATTCAATACATTTTTCTAGTAAACCAATTTGCCGAAAAAAAATGTACTGGCAAATAACATTATCGTGTGTTTCTTCAAAAGAAATGACCTTGCAAACATGCAAAGGTTCTATTGCATTAAGATGGATTGTTTGCCGCCACCTCGTTTTAGCATCGTTTTGTCTCTCGAGAATAAGGGTGCATTGCGCAAGCGGCCATGTGAGACAAGAGCCGCACAGTACAGCCTACGCCGCCGGTTCCCACCGCTTTCTCCGAGGCACCTGATGCGGGGGCCTTACGTCACTAATTGTGCCCGTTGCTAGCCCATTCATAACCACACTTGCCTCTAGAAACAATGCGAACGTAAAGATCTTTATGGTCTGTGGCTTCTCTGTTTCCTTAACTAAGTAAACGAAGTATATATAGGCCGAAGAAAGGCCAGAGTTTCTCGGAGTTTGGTACTGCATGTTACATGCATGCTGAGTTGCTGAAATTATCCGCTGAGAGTCGTAGAAGGTGCGCAGACTGATCTTAACTGTAAATCGTTTGCTTGTTAGCACCGTAGAACGGGAGTGCATCTGTTCTTGTTGTCTAGTAAACTTGAAACCTATGTCATCGTTCAATTTCGTATATCGTTCAATTTCGAACAATTCCTTGTTTATGACTGATAAATCTTGAACCCCGAGAAATTGTAATGCTAATGTTATAATAAAGTATTGTAATTTTGATATATAAACAACTGATTATAGTACAAAATAAAGGCTATGTGTCCACAGAAGCTTTTTGCCCTTAAGACTAATAGCGAAAATATCGTCAGATAAACAGGGCGAAGAAACAAATGCGACTATAATAACTTGTTTAATATTAATATGAATTATATTGAAGCATATCGAGCCGCGATAGTGGTGAGTACAGGCAACTCGCTTTCATCATCATCATCATCACATCAGCCGTAGGACGTCCACTGCTGAACATAGGCCTCCCCCATTGACTTCCACATCGACCGGTCGTTAGCGGCCTGCATCCAACGCGTCCCTGCGATCTTAGCTAGGTCGTCCGTCCACCTTGTGGGAGGCCTTCCTACGCTGCGCTTGCCGTCACGTGGTCTCCACTCGAGAACCTTTTTGCCCCAACGACCATCGGTTCTTCGAGCTATGTGCCCTGCCCACTGGCACTTCAGCCTGCTTACTCGCTCTTTTATGTCGGTAACTCTAGTTCGTCTACGGATCTCCTCATTTCTGATTCGATCACGTAGAGAAACTCCAAGTATTACCCTTTCCATATCGCGCTGTGCGACCGCTAGCTTCCTTATGAGGCTTTAAATCAAAGTGCCAGCACCAATGAAATTATTAATTGCTGTCTTCTCACGTTTTGATGAAAACGCGTGAGGAAACCTGCATATTTTCGAAATAATAAAAAAAAATGAATATGTGTGAAGTGTGTCAATCCGCAGTTGGGTAGCGTGGTGGCACTTTCTGCACGGAGAAGGCATTTGCCCAGCAGAAGGGATGCGATACGTATAGGCAGCAGTAAAAGTAAAGTACTTTTTACTTTAAAGCATATTGATTTATTCAAGCACTTCACATCTATCGTATATAATTACCATCGTTTCTCTTTGCTAAGAAACAACTATTTACAAGAATTTTGGTTTGATTGGCACAGCACTCTTGGTCATCAAATCAATGTTAGATCGGAATATACTGTTACGTATTCAGAATCTATATCAAATATCATCGTGCTTAAAAAGAGGAGGTGGGGAACGAGGTCAAAGCCGGCACCGGACATCCAAGCGATGGGCCCTCGAATTAGAGAAAATTTCATAACGAGCTTATCTAGTAAAAGTGCGCACGAAGACGGCCTTGGGGTCGCATAGCCGTCAGAGGTCACTGACTGCGTACGGTGGGCGAAAGCGGTTGCGCAAGTTGCCACGACATGCTTGTCATTCCGCACCGATGCCCGCCACTGGGTCAGGGGGAGTGCGCCGCGCAATTCGCCGAGATTGATGGCACTGGCGAAATGGATAACGGCGTCGTGTAAGGCTGTGTGTTATAACACGTATCGGGCAACATAGACATTATAGACATTTCATACGTGTGCATAACATGTCATAGACTATACACTAAAACGGTGGCGTATGCCACAGGATAGAAAATATGGGACACTGAACTACTGTCGTTCTGACTGTGTGGTTTGCACTTGATAGGAAGGCATAGGAAAAAAGGTGACAGAAATATTATACCCGCTTTGGGGTTCTGAGCTTTTTCTAATCTTACTTTTACGACATCCATTAAGAACGATTTAATGTATGTTATATAAAAGATATAAATTGCCACTAAAAAAAGGGGCAATTGCAAATAAGAATTTAACCCACTAGCTCTCAAAATTCGATATATGGAAACAAGTTTCAACTTTTAATAGTTGCCTTTTAATAGCAACATTCTAAGTAGAATGTGGTAGGGCCACTCAGTAGTATTTGCACGAATGGGCAGGGTCGTCCGGTGCAGTATCACGGCCTCATAGAAGACCGTTGTGAATTGGCAGTATACTTCTACGTTTCTCCCGGTGAGTTAGGTGACCCTTTTTTTTTTACGATGGAAAATGCATCATGCATACTCTCTTGCGGGGGAAGCAAGGAGTTATGTTGGACTTCCGCCCTGAAAAGGCCAGACCTACCAACTAAAACCCATCGGGTGCCCTCCTCTGCCGTCAAATGCTGGGTTGCAGGGCCCGCTAAAGCGATTCTGCTGCAACCCAGCCACGGCTACCCCGACCCTACACAGGGCTGGGGCACACCACGAAGGGACTTTTGTCCCCGTCCTCCGCATGCGGTGAGTTAGGTGACCCGGGCCAACTTTATTGAAATTTAACGCTCGTGCAACCCAATGGCCGGTGTTGTTGGTATCCATGGGCGGCGGTTACACTTAACAGCCGGTGAACCGCCAGCTCGCTTGCCACCTTCACACATAAAAAAGATCTTTAAAATCTTTACCGCCATAATGACGAGACTGGCCTAGTTACAAAGCGATAACCCACGGTATCACGAATCAATGTTCTTCAATGTAATTTCAACCCAAGACAACACTTGTATAACCTTAGATAATTGATCGCGCGATCGAAAACAGTCGTTGATATAAATGATTTTTGCAACAATTAATAATGATAAACATATCCTTTGACTTAAGAAATATATAATACAGTTAAGGAAACAAGTCCATTTTTAGCCGACTTCAAAAGGAGGTTCTCAATTCGTCTGTATTTTTTTTTATGTTTGGTACCTCGGAACTTTTGACTGAGTGAAGCGATCGTGATGATTCTTTTTTTATTTGAAAGCTGGTGCCTCCCATGTGGTCCCATATATTTATCCCATATAATTTCATTGGTATTGGATCTTGGGATCCGGAGATACTTAAGAAACTCCTGAAAATCACAGGTCGTAAAAAAAATACTGTCGAATTGAGAACCCCCTCCTTTTAGAAATCGGTCGAAAAGATATAATGCATTAATTTGATGCGATCGCTTTAGCCTATCAAACGACTGAAGTATTATTATACAGAAAATATATATTCATTTTGGCTAAAGGTAATAATAGCTCAGTGTCTGCTCGATATTGGAATAACCGGAGTTTGAATACAAGAAATTTCTAATGGCTGTTTTACAAATAAATCTTTCATCCAGGTCATTTTTTTATTAATATTATACGTTAGCAAGATTTAAATCTTACCTAATGTTGTAAGTCTCAATGAAATTACTTCGACTTAATATAAGTGAGAAATGAAAATATAATAAAAAGTTTAGCGATGCTTCTCACCTTCTATCTTTCTCGTTAATTCACCTTCACTCGCACTTTCTAAAGAATTTCCCACACACAATAAATGAGGACTGCAATAAAACACCATTAGTTTGTTAAAATACAATTCCAGACTCATACACAATCACACAAAAAAATGGGTAACTACGTCTGCTTAATGTATCAAGTTTGCCTGTAAGAAACATCACCCATACGCTACCATTTCAATTTACATGAATTAAACTATGTATTAAGTGCAAATTACTTTTTAAATTACCTTCCTAATTAAGTTCATCAACATAAATACAAAAATTACTGTATCAAAATAACAAATTCATGTTAATAACAAACCAGTTCGTATGTAGAATGGACGTTGTGTTACATAAACTTCTTCGTTTATTTTATCTGTTATCGTTTTTTAATTTCAGAAACATTGAAAAACATTCCGGTTTTAGCTTTTATTGTCTTTGTACATGTTTGGTAAAATAAGGTTTGTTTTTGCAGGTAATTATTAGCATACTAATAATACATGGAGAATGCATACAAGTCATCCAAGAGAAGCACTCTTATTCGAGTTTGAACTCAACAACCCTGTACCCTGTAATAAGTAATGTCTTAAGCAAGTCTAGCACGGGAAACAATAAAAATAAAATTAAAGCATATAATTCCAGTCCCGACACCACAACTTGGAAGATTAATGCAACCTTTTCATTACCAAATGATGATTCTGAGGAAGAAGATGACAGCAATAAATTAGTGGCTGAAGCCTTGAATGATAATGATAAGAAATGTAACGACAATGAAAAGGATACTAAACCAAACTCCTTTACTTTCCCAAGCGATCTTACAAATGAAACAGGTTTTAAAAAAGAAAAAACTGTTGGTGATAAAGAAAATGGGATCACAGCTGATCCTAAAAAAGAGGAAAAAGATAAAAGTCCACATAAAGAATTCAAACCTAGCCCTCATTTGAGCTCTTATTACGATACCTTAGATGATTCTCCTCTTCGGTCCTTCATGTCTTTTTCTTCACCAGAAAAAAAACCAACTTTAACATTCTTTGAGTGAGTAGCAAACATTCTAAAAGTAATCATAGCAAAATATTGTATATATTTTTTGCTAGCTTAGCTCATTCAAGTCAGTTAAGACAGGGCAGTCTTAACTGACTCGAATGAGCCAAGTGATGATTCAGAATTATGATCTCCTTGATTACACTCCCCTAGCTCTTTTACTTTACTTTATTTTACTATTGTATATATTTAAAAAAAAAGTATGTAAGCTATATGCAGAAAGCAGAAGTATTATCAACTACAAAAACTTAAACTTTTAACTTTGCCATAACTTTACCTAATGAAATTTTTCACAACTCCAATTAACCACAAATTAGCTTAGTAAAAACAACAAAGTATGTAATAACTTTCAAAATGTATTATTTATAGGCATCCACAAGATGAATATAAACAAACAAACAGACCTCCGGAAGACTTCATAGCTTTTCCATATAAATACGAAAAGGATGCCCATTCTAATGCTGGATGGAGTTCCTATGGGTTGCAATCAAGACCCACTGATGAGGCTCCCGTGAGGATACCTGCTGGAGGACTCTACAGACATCCCAGTTTCCTAAAAGAAATTACAAATTCGTATGGCGAAGACGAGGACGTCAGCCCCGATACTCACGATGCGAACAATTTGAAAGACATTTCACTAAAAAAGAGGTATGCACCTCAATATTGGGTAATAATTATTTTTTAACACTACATATCTAAAAGTTATTGAGCTTTGCAAACTAAAAAATTTCGTAACGAGGCTTCTTTTAATCATTGTTTTGAATAAGATGATCGAAAATGTTTTTATTATTACCAATTACCACTTATTTCGTCATTAGACTGATGGAGGGCAACAATGCTATCCGTTCTAATGTAATTATAAAATCTTCCTAAAACCCAACGCAGGGTCGCGAGGCGGTTAGTACATCGTGTTAGGAATGGGAATGGCATTCCGTGCTTATTTAAACGTGAACTCACGACTGCCATTGCTCCATTCGTTAAGCAACATGATGGTGCCACGTAGTGGCAAAAGACAGTTGTTCGACAAAGCTCATTTTTCACCCTGAATCAACATGTCAACGTGTGTGGTCGACTGTAACTTCGGTGAAAGGATCGTTGCGAATGACTCAGTTGACGTTATCGACGGTCAACAGATAATTACGAGCCGCGTCTACTTTCAAGCTACCCCTGTTTTGAAACACAAGTCGCCGCTTAATTAGGCGTCCGCCGCCTTTCGATTTTAGCCATTTTGGCTTTGTCTCATTTGCCTTTATGTACATAGTATGTTTACGGTCTCTGCAATCTTATGGGAACATTATGTTTATCTAATGGCCTTGCACGCTTATTGCTTTTTTAAATTTTGACGTAAGCTGAGGACGTCGATTATGTGAAACAACGGGATCTTCATATTTCATAAGATTAGGCAGGATCTTCAGATTTCTAAAGTTCAAAAATAACTCTTACAAACCTGTTACTGTTCTGTGCTCAGAATTCGGCAACAAATACATAGTTAAGAGGCGATAAGTCAAGGTTAAGAGACACAGGAAGTCGCTTTGTATTATAATAAAAAATAACTTTAACCAAACTGAGGCAGCATAGCTATGTAGTAGTATGTTGAAATGGACTACAGGCTGTATAACCTTATTTTAGATTATACTTTACGGATAAGAAGTTGACGAAGTCAATTATCACCAACACCGATTCCAATGCTGAACACAAGAAGAGTTATTTGGCTACCGCTCTCATTCGACGAAAGCCATATATTTAAGTGGCAGAATTTCATGATGACATACGACATAATGTCGACCGACGGTTGGGGTAGTAGATAGTGGAACCTTGGCCCAAGAGAGTTTGGGTTCGATCCCCAATACTGGAAAAATATTGTGTGAAAAAATTGTTGTTCTTCTACTGTCGGGTTGTTTTATATCAGTTATATTTACTTAACACATAGTACTGCAAGCTTTGCTTAGTTTGGTAGCAGATAACGTGGTGTAAAAATATGTCCTGAAATATTTATTTATTTGTAAATTGGTTTGCAAGTAAATAATTGAGAGCGTGGTCATTAAGACGCGACACATTAATAATGTATATACATAATTATATATGTACTACAGCTTTGTATAATTTAAAGTTTTGTATCTTTCCTTTTTCAGGTCCAATCCCTGGAAAAGCCTTCTGCATTTGGTGACAGCACTGCTGCCAGTGGGCCTTATCGTCTCCGCGCTCACTCCAAGCATCATAACTGTCCAGAACACTGGAACGGAGCAGTGAGTGCAATTATAAGGGCTTTGTGAACTATGGATAAATTCATGTTCCCTGGTTGACGCGATTTCAATGTTTTCCAGTGAAGACATGTAAATAAACACGTGAGCAGTTACCAGATCAATCAATTTATACATTATATATTTCCGAAACGTCATCTTTATCATCTTCAGTTTTCGTTTAAAGTCTGCGTCACATTTGTGATTTATAAGAGTTCAAATAATACCGAGCTTTAATGTTTATGTGATAACATACGTTAAAACCGAGCCTGTCGATTGATACCGGCTTATTAATTAACTATGCTAAAGAACCAATATTAATGTTAACGCGTTAGTCAAATCGATCGCGTTTCCAGCTCGCTCGGAAATAGTGCGTTCCGACTTCCGCTTGAAACAAAGCCGACTTGCTTCGTTCGTGTTTCTTACGAAACATGAACGAAGTTGTAACGGAACGGCGGAACGTTCTGTCAAAGTACCCGGGCGAGGAGAGATCGCCGGTGCATCAACGCGATTGGACTAGGGTGGCCACACGTGACCAGATTAAGGTTACTTCTGCTGACTCCGTGGCGCAGTTGCCAAGGCTTCGACAACGTTCGTGGGTTCAATTCCCACACGAGACAAGTACCTATTTATATGACCCACAGATAATTTTTTGGGATAAATACATATCCGAAACAAATTATCTGTGGGTAGGTTTAGGCACGTAAAATTTATTAATGTAAAAAGTCGTTGCACCATATTATAATGTTGCCTTACAGTAAGGAGGCAATATTTTCGAAGGGAAGACTGCAATAGATCTTTCTAGCTCGCAATGGTCGTTGGGACTTATTACTTAAACACTTCCACACAAAATACAAGGACACTTTTCTAAGGCGTATGCAAATCGATAGGTGCATTTAAAGATTAACCACCCACCAATATTTGATTATGGATTGTTAATAGTGTGTACTACAACTTATTTACTTATTTATTTTTTATTTATTTGCACATTTTTTTGTACTAACTGGTACAAACGGCGGGCTTTTCTACCAGCCAACCGGAAAGTTAGTGAGAGAGAAGTATAGGTGCTAGCTATATAAGGATTATATAATATGTATACATACACTCATTAATGGCGCTTACTAAACAGTTGCTGATTATCGAAATTGCTGGCTCATTATAATATCTGTTTAATTCATTATTAGGACGATAATCTGTAGAGAGTTTTAATTTTAAAGAATTCAGTGATTTTTGATATTATTGCGCCGTATCAGCAATATATGAAGCGCAATTTGAACCGTCAATGTGTCTTATTCAAGCGTCAGCACCGTTACTTCTTTGTACCGGTTTTACCTGAATTTGTAAGTGAACATTGTAAAGGAACAGTCATTTACCACAATTAAAATGAGCACATTAATATGTTATATTGGAGTATCATCTAATCATATTTAAAGGTTCTCTCACGCATAAGACAGGACAGTCTCGTGCCATCAACGTACTTGGTGACCATAAAGGCGGATGTGCTTCCTATGGCGGCACGCGATCTACCGCACGCAAGTCGCAAACCGCTATCTATTACATAAAACCGACTAATTTCGCGACCACACTCACTCACCGGACAAAACGCGTAAGTTTAATACTTCCACTCCACACCGGTCTTCTGTCAGGCCGCCTGCCTGCCCTTTCGAGGAGCAGAAACCGTTGCGTAGCCTTACACTGTAAAAAGTTCACCGTCTAAAATATAATTTACTAGCTGCTGCCTGCGACTACGTCTGCGTAGAAGAGGCTGAAGGTGCAACATTAAGACAGAAAGGCAGATATACATAAAATACGTATATAAATTATAGCCTAAGTCTTATCTGATGTATAAGCTATATTATTGTAAAGTTTCATTAAAATCCATTCAGTGGCATTTGCGTGAAAGAGTAACAAACACTTTCACCTTTATAATTTTAGTAAGGATTATGTGGGGTCGTACGGTTTCGCTTTTTTTAAAAGTTTATGTCCTAGGCTTAACGCCGCGGCTGGTGACAAGAGAGGTTCTTTTCTAGCTCAAATATTAAGTTTAGATGGATTTAATCTTAATATAGGCTTAATAAATATTAGAGATTTCTAATGTATTTCTTTTTTAAATTTAATTTATTATTAGCAGTTAAAACTATTTCATCATCCACAGGCACTATAAGCGTCTGTCGCGCAGTTCTGATATGCCAACTATCCCGTCGGTCAGCGAGCAGTGCAAACGTCGGCTGCTCTGCGAGATACAATCCGACAGTAACTACGAGTAGGTTGATACATTTTATTTTCTATTTTTAATTTTATTTCGTTTTTTTTTATTATATAACACAACTTGGGATTAATTAGCAATTTCACGTGGGCATTTCCACTTGTTCGGAAAAAATCTATAGATCTTAATGATATTCTATCCTGTTAAAGAAACAATATTGAGATGCAAATAGTTTAACAATCACCTCAACCTTTCAATTCCTCTAAAAATTATCTTACCGATAGAGTTATGTAAGCTTCATTATATACGAACTTGATAAACTAAGACTTCAAGCACAAAAGGAAATGAACACTATAACTTTGGCATAACGTACAAAATCTCTTCCAGGAGCAATGTGAACCCATACCGTCGACCGAAACACTGCTACAAGATCCGCTGCGAAGATCCGCAAGCCGTCTCCAGGGTGTTAAACTGGCTTCTAACTTATTACAGATCCGGGGACAGCAGGGGAAGAGGTTATACCTAACTTTATTTGCAATAAGACAATTCGAAATAATGAAAAATTAAAAAATGAGCCTAGTTACTAATGGTATTAAATACAAAATCGTCTAAACTCTTTCTCTTATCACCAATAGCCTTGCGGGTACAAATCCCTGTGCCTCAGCACGTGAGTTTTAATTCACAAATGCTGAATAAACCACATTCTCCCGAAAAAAAACATGATATAGAAATAATGTAATAAAACATATGACAGCCACAGCACGTACCGTTTTCAGAAACAATCAAATTCACGCCCGGTTTCTGAAACAATGACTGTCGTAGAAATAGGCAACTCAAATGACATTTGAAATTTGACAGATGATTAGTTAATTTCTACGATGATCATTGTTTCAGAAACCGGGCGTTAGTCTAACTTTGACATCACTGTTTGGTTTGTCACCTATATACCGTTTGGATTCAATTTACACGAAAACATTAAGTAAAACCTTCCAATGTTTTCAATCGCCACAGCACGACAATAGTATACAGCAACTATCAAACAGGGCAAGTAAAGCGATTACCTGCGAAGTGCACATGAAAAGTCGACAAGAAACACATTTAAACACAATAACTATAAAAAAGCTGGAGAAGACGTGCGCAATACACACGGATGGCGGCATTCTCGTAACAAGTCCACAATTACTGGGTAGCTAATGAGAGGCCTAAGAGGGCCCCAGCTCACAAACATGCTTAATTAACGCCCCATTATACCAATAGAATCCGATGAGATGAGGAGTGACAAACAACTTTCGACACTTCTTTTGCCTCTATTTTAACAAGTATGCGTGGCCACTAAAGCGGCGCTTCTCCATGCACCGGTAACGGTTAATGATTATTTAATTACCTAATATGTACATTATAAAGAACTCATATATTAGAATACATGATAATATGTAATTTTAAATGCGATCTTTTAAAAGCTATATTCAAACAAATTTGTGGAAAAATAATTAAAGGGATAACATTCCAACCAAAGCGACATAAAAGACGCCCTTACGATTTTAACGTTATGGCAACGACTGCTATCGTCCAAAATAAATGTAAAGTAAGAGCTGCTAGTATCAAGAATATGTATTTGATGTCATACTTGATGAAGTTGGTTGCAAAACGACCAAATTCACGTTATTACCATGGCAACCAATAACAACTTTTTGATATTTTCCTATAATTCGAAGTTATTTAATTAAGCCGATATCAACAGCAATTCATGTCTCCAATCTTTCACATGGTATAAAGTTTAAAGTTATTTAGTTAACTTTTTGTTAGAAGTTACACTTCTTTAGTATACAAACCTTTTTTGTGCTATAAAACTGACGTTTCGCTGATTTCGCGGCCACACGCTCTAACCGGACGCGAAATTTCCGCGTGGATCACTAATTCGTTGCGTCACCGACACATTTTTCGCGCCACACCACGCGAAAACTACGCGTACTAGTATAATTCAGCCGTTGGCGTTTATATAACGCGTATGAATTGCATTCTTAACGTCCACTCTTACGTTGATGCGTGAAAAATACTTGTTACGAGACTCTTCAATATCTCGGCACGAACGAGCACAGTTTCTACAAGTGACGCATACGTTAGTTATGATCGCATCTCAAGATGGCCACTCAAACATCAAGCATATTTTATGTTAGAAAATGACATTAAGTAGGCGGTTCCCGTGGTTTCAAATTGTTATAGTGACCCATCGTCTACATCGCCATGGGGTTGCAGATGTGTTGCCCACCGTTTAGACAATGGTTCATCATAATGCTCCCATTTCACTCCGTCTTTTTTTTAAACATTACCCTTTACTTTAGGTAGCATTATCCTCCCCTCCAACCGGGTTCCCGCCTTGACGTCGCGAAGGGACATGGTCACCCACGGCGAAGCTAAGAGGAACCCACACTTGGCCGGCCTGTCGTGTAAGGCCGGCCCGAAAGAGCCGCTCCAAGTGGGCTCATTGAGTCCACTCTGGATGCGTGCTGGGGGATGCAGGGGACAGCGGGTGGTAAAGGAGGAGCCTCTTTCCCTGTCTGCTACCGAGGAGGAGTCGCGGGGGGAGAGGAGTGTCGGTATTGCTATGCGCCGTTCTCCCTACCCTCCGCGCCCGAAACGTGGTGTGCGGCGCCTCAGACCAGGTCCACCACTTGGGGCTTGGAGGCTTCCTGCTTATTAGCACTAGGTTTCCTGGCTCCCGTGGCCCTGGTCGAACTTGGGGGAGTTCGTTGGCTGTGAAAAAGGGGCCGAGTAGGAAGGCCTACTCGAGCTACGGCTACCTGGAGGAGAAGGGAGTTGTTCCCCGGGCCCTGTCAACATGCTCCTAGGTGGAGCATCGTGGGGGTTTTAGTCGGTGCGAGTCCGACATAACCAGCTCTTGCCCCTGCGAGGGCGGGTATGCGTAGGCCTTTTCCCCACATAAACAAAAAAAAGGTAACAATATCCTGTTTTGCAAGGACATTGTAGATACATAAATTTTAAATGGATAAACACCCAGATACGAATTAAATAAAATACTATTTATGTACTGATATTACATAATTATTCCATGTACCGTTAATTAATACAGAGATGTATGTTCAAAAAAGGATTCATTTTTATTAAACATTAATTTCATTTTTAAATAATGCTTTTAAAAATCATTCCTATAACGAGCGAACACTTTCTACACGACTGTACAAGGCAATATTCAGCCAACAGAAACTTAGGGCAAAGGGCATAGCTTGTGGGCGAGATAAACGCGGCCCGATCTCCAGCCGACCTTTTTGTTTCGAAACCGAGTGCAATGCAGCACCGCGTTTTATGTATTGTCTCAAATTTTTACCGGCCGGCGCATTCGCAGGCTTTCGCGAAACATTTTCAAAAGTCAAAGTTCGCAGGCGCAGCTTTATTGCTATCTTGAATGACGACAATTAGCGACGGTGTCGAAATCTTTCCTCGATCTCCCTTATTTTTTAAAACAACCGTGAGCATAAGAATAGTTAGCATTTTAATATGCGCACTTGTATGCTTTAGCGTATAGGCTTGTAGAGTTCCGACTCTCTAAGGCCACTTAATAATATTAGGAGGGAAAATTGAAAAGTAAAGTAAAGTAACAGCCAACACATGTCCCTCTGCTGGGCAATGACCTCCTTTATACAGAGGGTATCAGGGCATAGTCCAACACGCGGCTCCCACCTTCAAAGAAACATCATTCATCTTCGAAAAAAATATTTTTTTTGTTATTATTTCGAAAATATGCAGGTTTCCTCACGATGTTTTCCTTCATCGCTGAGCACGTGATAAGTCAGCACTTAAAATTAACAATTCCATTGGTGCCGGCACCGGAGATCAAACTCAGGTTGCTCGAGTATATTAAATTTAAGGCGAGCGCCCGGACACTGAGCTATCACGAGAAAGGATTTTTTTTAATACTATGTTTACTATTATAACCTTAAATCAAAAACATAACCATTTTTTTTGTTTTATGTATATTAGCAAAAAAAGTAAGGTTTGTGTTTTGGGAATGAACTTTCAATAGGAATTGTGAAATAATTAGAAATTCAATTAATCCTTTCAAACGAACGCATTTTTAAAATGTGGATATACATATTAAATGTCATTTAACTTTTACGTAACTAATGATAGTACCACTACCGCACATGTTTATTATTAAGACAGTATGTTTACTATATCAATAAAAACATTCTAATCTCATTCAAATATATTCAACTTGAAGAAGCGATTTCTCTTCTAAATTGCTGAATTATCGATGATGTTTTTAAATATTACAATATTTTCTTGATGACCAGTCATTGCTTTATTTCTTTCTTTCTTTCATCTTTTAATTTTCTTTTTGAAACGCAGAGGGGAGTATTATGTGTGGGTAGTGGCTAGCCCACGAGTTCTACGTTCGATGAAACTTTAATTGTCTACGGACTGGAAGCAAGAACGTCAGTTGAAGTATAATTTAATACACGTATTGGTATAATAATTGGTGCAGGTCTGGTTGGTTGGCTTATCCCACAGCATTTTAACATTACACCTGTAATGTTAAAATACATAAATACTCGCAAAACAAATATTTGTTTATGAGTAGGCGACTCGTGCTTGTCTTCGCCATAACTTTTTTTATTTCGTTTAATTTGTTTTTAAAATATGTTCTATTTATCCGTATATTAATTGCAATAACAAAAATGTAACTCATTGTTGGACATCATTGCGGCCATCCAACCTCCTTTCGACCATTAATATTACAAATTTTACAACTGGTATCTGACTGGCAGATACCTTGACTGACGATAAAAACATATTAATTATTAAAAAGAAATAAAAAAAAACGAGAGGTAAAGCTATCGACACAGACAAGTTCAAAATATTTTAATAGAACAGACTGTCGAACTGCTTTTCGGATCAAATGAAAAATTAAAACAACGTAGAGGCACGTCCGTAATTAGTACGTAATTTATTTTGTGTTATACTTAACAAAATGAACAATGTCCGAGATAATTTCTTTAATTAAATTCCCATAAAGTTAAAGAGAATGCGGGCAGATTTCCTGTGTCTATAAATAAATATTCTTCATACAAACGCGCTCCATCACCGTGCTTTCACTATCACTTAGAGCCGAGAGACAGAGAATGAACTCTGTCCCAATGCAATAATAAGCATAATTGCGTCACCTGCTTCGTAATAAGAAAAGTTCTAAACGAGATAAATATTACTTTTTTACATCGCTTCTAACGTAGTTGGCATTAAAACAGAAAATGCAAAAATTAAGAGAAAATTACTAATATTTAAACTTGAGGAGCAGCTTTAATGTAGTTTGCTACTTCTTTTGCCATGATGGCTCAGTGTTCCGGCGCTCATTTTAATATAGTATACTCTAGCAACCTGTGTTCAAATCCCCGTATGGCAATTTTCAGTGGTGGCCTATCACGTGCTCTACGATAAAGGAAAACAACGCGAGGAAACCTGCATAATTTCGAAATAGCAACGAAAAAAAAATTACTTCTCTACGCA